AACTTTGCACAATATTTCTGTTTTGCACTTGTGCCGAAGCGATTTTTGTGCAAAAATTAGAAATACTAGTATCGCAAATCTCCGTCACGTGATCAACACAGTCATGTGACATCACAAAAATGCTTTATTTTGATACCTGATTAAAGTATTATGTCACGTTGAATTCAATTTCAAACACGGATTACATATTGAAATTAAAATCTAGCTCAAGATAAAATTCATATTTTTAAGGCATTTTAAGCCTTCGGACAGCCTTATCATAACTGCGCATGGGGCAGATGATGATATGCATGCAGCAGTTAAGTGTTTCTTGCAGTGTAACTGTTAATTTAATTGGCATTAATTAAAACTTATCACATATTTATTGTGTCTTGCAGCATATGCATTCATTGACTATGAAGATCACAGAGATGCTGAGGTAAAAAAAAAAAGCTTAATGTTTTATAAATGTTCATATTTTTAAAAAAAAGGTAGATAATAATTTCAGAAATATAAAATTTAATCCCAACACAGAAGGATACTGTTCTTATTATTTAAGGAACTAGACTGGATGGAGCTTATTTTTTTTCATTACTTAGTGGGAGAATGAGAAATAAACAAAAAATGACATTAATGTGAATGTGAAGCATCTTGGGGCTGACTGAAAGAAATAGTTTTTGTATATTCTAATACAATACATTCCTGGCCATCACTAAAATCATGAGATAAAAAAATCAGTTAATATGAAAGGCTCATATAGCAAGTGAATTTTAAATGTTGCTCCACCAGCCATGTTTCTTTGATAAGACAGTGCTATTGGTTCACTGAAAGGAACTGATAACCTTATTGTTAGACTTGAAGATAAAATACAATCCCCAGAATTTTGGTGTAACAGAAAAATACTGGTACATGTTTTACATTTGTCCAATTCTCTAGGGAAGCAATCTCATGTTTTCAAAGGAAGATTTTTATGTCTACATAAGAGTTGAAAATTTGATCTCAAACTGGATAGATTCTTCAGTTAGGAATAATGTGCAGGGTAGCAAAATATACACAAAAAAATTATCAGTATTGTTTGTATAAGTGAAATTTATAGATCATCATTTTTTATGTAAAAGTTTTTTTTCTACAACATGATTTTGAATCGCACAAATAATATATATTTTTGGTGCATATCCTTGCACTATGCAAATTTGCACAACATTCTAGTTTTAAGTATCTTTTCCAAAATTTTTTAGTCAGCATGAAAACAAGATGTGAAAAGTTTTCTATTTAAAATAAAATTATCAGTTAAATTGATGGTTATGATTATATGTATATATTAATTTGAATATTCACAAAAAATTAGAAAATTTAGAAAGATGCGTAAAAATTTAAATTCACTGAATATTGTTTCTTACATGAAATAAATCTTAAGAATTAGTCTCAGTTAAAAATAAAGGTTAATTCATCCAAACTCTGATTTATTAAAGTATTTTTAACTAAGATTTTGTTCAGGAGTGTGAAAAAAAATTTATCAGAGTTCTAAACATGGAGTTGAAATATCCTATGTACATCTTGCAGCAAAAGCCACCATGCCCAATCCAATCCATTCCACCATCTTCGTGACCCCATTCCAAACCCGGGTGGCCACGAATCCAATCCCTTCCATCCATGAGTCCAATCATCAAAACTCTGTAAAAACAAAAGCCAAATTCTGAAATTCTGAAAAAATAGCTGCTGTCATGTGCTTCGACAACAAATTCTCTCACTGTCGACCATGACTTGCTGTGACCCAGGGTCCAAATTTTGCCACAGAGCCATTGTAAGCCAAACCATGTTGCCAATTTAACCAATTGCCATTGTAACCATTCTTTACCACAACTGACTACAGAGTTCAAGGGTATACTGTCAAAGTTAATAACCATCTGCTTATTATTTTGTTTTTATGTCAATGTTCTGGTACATGTTTGCATGTTTATTATTATGTACAGTGATGAGCAGGTATAATATTTTACTTTTCTCTTGGTATTTGTCCTCCTCTTTATGTTTTGAAGCATATCTGCTTAAACATGCTTTCAAATTTTTTGTAAAGTGTAAAATTAAAACTGTGTACTTGTCTGTTGTTTTTTCCTGATAAACATTTTTTTTAAGATTGTTTAATGTGAAGAATTTGTTTTGATTTAATCAGGATGCAGTTCGGTATGAGAATGGCAGAGAGATCTGTGGGTCCAGTATTATAGTAGAGAGAGCCAAAGGAGCACCAAGGAGGTCATTGGCCCCAAGAGTAGGTCCACTTTTGTATTTAAAAAAAAAGACTGGAATAGTATACTGTGAAAACACTAATTTTCGGGTGGGTGGGTTAATTTTTGTTGTTTTCAAGGTGTTAGGAGACCCACTAATTTATGACCACAAAAGAAAGGAATTTTTCTCATATAATACATGTACTACTGAAAAATTCTTGAACCACGGAATCAAATCCCCATGAACCAATATATTTTTCTCATACCACAAAAATTTGACCCCTTGAAAATATGTGATTTAACAGTATAAATCTAAAAAAGGAATGTTTTCTTAAAGGCATGAGTATTTAATGATTCAGTGTTTCACTTTATCTGTATGTTTTTAAAACTGCAAAAAAGGTGATCGAAATGAAATATATCAACTTTGTTTTAATGGTGATGGTAAGATGACTCTTGTGTGTGTTACAGAGTTCTGGCTATGATGACAGCTACAGGTCTGGACGAGGCTCTAGAGACTACCCTGACAGATATGACAGAAGAAGTGGTCCAAGAGGAGGACGATACAGGTCACCCTCACCACGACGTAGGAGGCAAGTCTACCATAGAATTTAATTTACATGACAAAACAACACATCTTGGCAACTTCAATAATCTGGATTGTTTCGATAAAAATAAAATGAAATATTTTGGGCATCAGTTGGGACATCATCGGAAACCCACGATTGATCTCGTCTTTACTTATTACCCGTGGGCAAACTCGCTGAAATATCGCCGTAAAGTATGCTAATTTGTTGTTTTTAGTAATCAATCAGAAAGTTGGAACTCTTCAATTTTGAAAAGTACTTTTATTACTTTGCTATTTATGGTAAATATTTTGACGCTTGTTAAAACGTGCAAAGTTTGATGTAAGACAATGAAAGTCAATTCGTACAGGTCACTGACATTAAAATCCATCAGATATTATACATGAGTACCTCTTCCTAACTGCAAAATGCACCGGTGAGTGGATGTATCAGCTGTGTTAACTACGGAATGAGTTTTTCATGTTTTTGGCAACGCCGAACATGCATATGTAACGTGAACTGGATTCGTTGTTTTGGCTTCGCGATCCTGTGGTGCGGCCAATCAAATGATCCATGCATATTTAATTACATAAGACGATTTTTCAGCGAGTTTGTCCACAGGTGATAAGTAAAGACGAGATCACCCATGTGTTTCCAACGATGCAGTCAGGAATGACAAAAAAGATGCATAATGAGAACATTTTTTTAACATTTAGGTCCAGATCTCGATCTCGAGACAGAAGGAGACGCAGCCGAAGTAGATCTCACAGCCGACAGCGACGAAGGAGGTCAAGCTCTGTCAGCCCCCGGCGATCCAGCAAACGATCAAGATCTAGGTCACCAAGCAAGTCAAGAAGTAGGTCACCACAGAGTAAATCGGGGAGTGGATCTCCACCAAGAAATGGGCAGCAGACCGACAAATCTCCATCAAGGAGTCCTGCTAACTGAATCAAATTTTATTTTATCATCATTGCTCATTTATAAACTTTGCATTTTAAACTTTAGTTAATGTATCTTTCCGTCAAGTGTTTTCTTTAGTGATCTGTTATTTTAAAAACCATCTACCTACTTGCTACAATGTTGACGTGCACTAGAAAATTATTTTAACAAATTTGTAAATTGATGGCAATGCAGTGCCATCCTGTATATTTTAATTATGTTTTAATTTTTGTTGGTGTGTGCACCAGATATATTTAAACAAGGGCTTTTCATTTGCTTTTGCTCTTACTTGAATTGTTTGTGCAGAAAAGTAAGAACAATGTAACAGAAAGTAATTATATTGTTATGAGTATGACATGATACTACTAGCTATTAATTTTATTTTAGTTGTTTGATATACAAAGTATTGTTTTGATTACTTTGATTGAAGATATTATTGTCAAGTATTATCATTGTCCTAGTAAATTTTGTACATAGGTTGTAAATTATCACCCACCCAAACTAACTGAAGAAATATAAATTAAAAAGAATAATTATTATAGATTGTTTTTGTTATGAGTTTACAATTCAAAATTCTTTTTTGAATTGAACATTTGAAGGTGCATTTGACAATTCCAATTTCTGCCAGAATAACTAAAGCCAGTAAAGGCATGCAAGGGCATAACATGGGTTCAATTTCAACATGGGGATACCTGTAAAAAATGTAAACAAGAACAATAGAACCTTTTCTACAACCATTAAATTTATTAACAGCGTTAAATTTACCATAAATTCATGCATTCTTATTCTCACAAATATATATTAGATTGTCTTTGCCTTCACTTTACTATCATAACTTTGGTTTATTTGATGTGTTTTCTGGATCTCCAGTTTCCCAATCGTATGCTGGTAAATTCTTGTGATCTACAAGAAATATGCAGTAAAATAAAGCTGTCTATTGAAATCAATATTATATTGAACAAAGACTAGAGATATGAAATTATTGTTTATTTATTTCTTGCAGACTAGCACGAGTTTATAAAATATACATCCATAGAACATGGGTGTCAGAAACAAATTGAAAGGGGGGGGGGGCTAATCAAAAGAGGGGGCTAAACCAACAAAAATAGGTAAATCCCAATTTTCAATGCCTATATGATGTGTATTTTTGCAAAAGAAGCGGGATGGGGGAAGGGCACTTAGCCCCCCGGTTCCAACGCCTATGAAGAATGGCTAACATTTGTGCTACATATGAACAATTTCTAAAACGATTTAAGATTTGATGAAGCAATAATAACAGCAGTCTTGATTTAAAGAGACACAGTGATGCACAAATATAGAAGTTTTGCATGACCCATGTAAATTTTGTTCAATACCTAAAAATATTAGGTTTCAGAAAATTACAGGATTCAGAACCTAAAAATTCTACTTTTAAGTAGAAAAATAAAAGTAAAATAATTTCAGTATGCCCCATAATTAAAATATTGCAAAATACCCTGGAACTTCTTCCTCCCTATGAAACGCGTGCGCATAAAAATGTTGAATAAGTTTCCATAGTTACCATGGTCTCAAGTATCCACGAATGAATGTAAGCAGACCAAAAATTTTGATGTAATCATTTTAAAGAGTTGTTAGAACATATTTCTAACCTTTGCATGCTCCAGTTGAATGTTTTTTAGAAGTTTGAGCTAAAAATAAAAGTGGCATGACCTTGACATACACGAAACAACGAAACAGTAGATACAGCCTTTGTTTCTCTGGCACTTAAATTGTTAATTGTCATATCTTAGCTATATACTCATAATTTTTATAAGTCTTTTTCTGCATGCTACAGATATCTTAAAAGAAAAACATGATTTTAACTCATTGTGTCCTTTTAAGTATTCATTTCTAGGGTTGATACAATGACCTTGTCAGCAAATATATTAATTTATCATTGAGTCAAAATGCTGGTTGACATCTTTTCATACTGATTAGTAGGCCATTAATTACTAAAGGATTTTTTCAGGCTTTTTTTCCCAAAACATGACAAGGAACATCACATGACAGGTGTGACTTGTCAGCAGGGTATGATCACTCCTCCATGACACCAGATCCCACCTTGTAATAATTTGGAGGTCAATGTTTACTCCACTCCTATTTTGTAATGTTTAGCTCGAATACTTCATTATCTCCCCAAGATAACTTTGAGCTGAAGGAACATTTCTTCATGTAAATATCAAATACTTTAGCTAGCTATTTAAATAGATTATCTTTATAATAGTAGCAGTACAATGTACTTAATTCAATGTACTACAAACTACTGAAGCTTTTAAATAATACCATGAGTTAGAAATAAAAATTCCTTCAAATTTAAAAAAAAATCTGCATGATATTATTATGTTAATCCTTTGTTCAATTTTCACAAACCTGGTATTTGAAAAGGTGAACTATATAAACTGGCAGCGCCATCTACTTTAAGAGATTCTCCAGAAATGAAAGCAGCAGCAGGTGAGAGAAGGAAGCAGACAGCTGCTGATACCTTAAAGATGTAATGTTAAAAATAAGCATCAACTGATTTTTTTTAAAAAGATATGTGTAAGCTTAAACTTTGTTATTATTAGCATTTGGAGATGATTTATTAGGGCCCCGCAAGGATTTGCGGGTGCCCTATAGTAATCACTCTGTCTGTCTGTCTGTCTGTCCGTCTGTCATTCTTCCGTCCACAAATTTTCTGTTTTTTCCTTTCAACTTTTTTTATGGTAGCCCAATTAAGTTCAAATTTGGTATGGTAGTTCAGTAGGCAAAAAGACATTTTAATGCTAAGTTTGTTTCTCTATGTCCTCTGGTTTGGAGCTGGGGTGGTGGGGTAGATTCCTTAACTTTATATAAGAATGAATTGGGAAAGAGAGATAACTTCTGAAAATGTTGTAAACTGAATACTGCAATGAATGAGCCCCTTGGGATTAATTAGCTTTCCTCCTGAAGAAAATCCAAAGCATTATCTTTATCTGTCACATTGAGATTAATTACCACCTCTGTCTGCAAATGAAGTTTGTTTTGAAGTTAAGTCCATTTGGAATGCTATGAACACTATGAAATGTGGATTGAAGTATAAATGTTTTTACTTTATTTTTGTTGAAATAGCCTACACGATGAGTTTTAATTTCATTGACTTTGAAAAAGAAGAAATAGATTAAAGAAGATATATTTTTTATTTTTATTTGTTTATTTTTTTTCTTTTTTTTTCTTCATGAAAATTCAAGAATATTATTAATTTTTAAGGCAGTTGGATAAAAACCTCGATCATTCTATCATTGCTGAAAAAGTTCTTATTATGAATTAAGAAGAAAATGATGAGAGAGAAGTACAATTAATCCCTTGGGATTAATTATCTAGCCTGCTGCAGAAAATTTAGAAGGCTTATCTTTATCTGTCACTTTAAGATTAATGAAAACCTTTGTCTGCAACTGCTGTTTGTTTTGAAGTTAAGGTCAAACCTTCATGATATGTATTTGCATTCATTGAAGGCTGGCATTTTATATTATAGTTTAGATTTAGATATACATTCAGTGTTGAGTTGTTCTTTACTGCCTTATGTAAAATAAATACAAGGATATTATTTACAGGTTTTTGGACATTCGGGAATTATCTTGAAATTTTAAGAATACAGTTGCTGTTTCTTATTCGTCATGTATTTCTTAAATCATTCCATAAGCTGCACCCTTATAATTCTACCTCATGGCGGGGCCCTTGCTGACTGGTCAGTTTTCTAGTTAGCACTTACCTCTGCAGGGGTCCCTAAACGTTTAGCAGGTATATGAGGAATGTACTGCCCCAATATATCAGTACTATAGTTAGCTGCTGCCGTCTTGGAGTAAACTACACCCTACATAAGAGATTATTATTAAATATATACAATGTACAACAAGTATTGTACTTGCTGTCTTTAGAAAAATTGTCACAGATGAGGTCCATTGTCCAATAACAATTCATTAAAGCATACAGTATACATGTATACACGTAATTCTTGTCCAAGGCAATATAACATTTTGAAGAAGCTGATAAATTATACACAATGATATTCAACCAGAAGTCTCTGTCGAGACTGTAGCTCTACTGGTTTATACTTAAAACAAAGGAAGAGAAAAGTAGCAGTTGGGACTTGAGACTTTAAATCAGCAATAAATAAACAAGAGGCCCACGGGCCTTATAGGTCACCTGAGCATTATGCAACAATTTTCCAGTTATTGAATTTGATTCATGTTTTAAGCCAGATGCTATATGACATTCACAATTTTGAAAGAGGCACCATTGATCATCATAACAATACACTTAGCAGTTGCTTAGCTTGGTTACTGAATACCCATATGCAGGGTAGGGGAACAAAAATGCATTCCAACTAACCAGTAGTGCCCCTAACCCTGTGACATAAACCCCTGACCCTAGGTCCACACATTACACAAATTTCAAAAAGGCACCCTTAATATCAAAAAATAAATAAATGTTTTATAATACAAAAGAGCAGATTTCAAACAATAAATTCATTATCAGTATATAAGTAGAGCCCCCATTCCTGACCCTGGGGCTATGAAATTCACAATTCTGCAAGATTAGGGCCCTTGCTCATCATAACTATAAAGGTAGTTCATCTGCTTTATACCCAGAGACAAAGAAAAAAAATTTCAAAGATTTAATGTATTTTCATTATATAATCAATTGAGCCCCGCCTCCCTAACACCAGAACCCCTGACCCTGGGGCCATAAAATTCATAATTTTAAAAGAGGCATTCTTGCTCATCATAACTATGTACTTAGTTTATTTAATTCCTAGGAGCAGAGAAGAAGATTTTCAAAGAATTCATGTATTTTCAATATATAATCAATAGAGCCCTGCCCTAACACCAGAAACCCTGACCCTGGGACCATAAAATTCACAATTTTGGTAAAAGCACTCTTGCTCATCATAACTATGCACTTAGTTAGTTTATTTAATACCTAGGAGCAGAGTAGAAGATTTTCAAAGAATTCATGTATTTTCACTATATAATCAATAGAGCCCCCCCCCCCCCTAACACCAGGACCCTTGACCCTGGGGCCATAAAATTCACAATTTTGGTAGAGGCACTCATGCTCATCATAACTATGCACTTAGTTAGTATATTTAATACCCAGGGGCAGAGAAGAAGATTTTCAAAGAATTCATGTATTTTCACTATATAATCAATAGAGCCCCCCCCCCTAACACCAGAACCCCTGACCCTGGGGCCATAAAATTCACAATTTTGGTAGAGGCACTCTTGCTCATCATAACTATGCACTTAGTTGGTTTATTTAATACCCAGGAGTAGAGAAAAAGATTTCCAAAGAAATAATGCATTTTCACTATATACTTATTTAGCCCCGCCCTAGCACTAGAACCCCTGACCCCAGGGCCATGAATTTCACAATTTTGGTAAAGGACTCAATGCTGATTACAATCATGCAAACAGTTTGACTGCTTGATGTCCAGAAGTAAAGAAGAAGATTTTTAAAGATTTTTTTTTAATTTTAGTGGTTTTGGCCCCACCCCTCAGGCCCCAGGGGGGCAGGGATCATGAAATTCACAATTTTTGTTTCCCTTCACCCATAGATGCTTTGTGCCAAATTTGGTGGAAATTGGTTCAGTGGTTGCAGAGAAGAAGCTGAAAATGTTCAAATGTTAACACACGACGGACGACGAACGACAAACGACGGACGACGAACGACGGACGACGACGGACGAAAACAGATAGCAATAGGTCACCTGAGTTTACTCAGGTGACCTAAAAATGATCCTTGCCACTCATCAAAATAAAAAACAATGCACAGAATTATGTATCTTAGTATAGTCTACTTGTGTGCCAAGTTATACTGAAATCAGACCAAAACTGCAGGAGGAGTAGCATTTTGAAAGAATTTCACAGAAATTTCTATTTTTAGTAACCATGGCAACATTGCTCATTGAAATCAAAAACTGATGCACAGAATTATGTATCTTAGTGTAGTCTACTTGTATGCCAAGTTATATCAAAATCAGACCAAAACTGTAGGAGGAGTAGCATTTTGAAAGAATTTCACAGAAATTTCTATTTTTAGTAACCACGGCAACACCGTTTATCGAAATCAAAAACCGATGCACAGAATTATGTATCTTAGTGTAGTCTACTTGTGTGCCAAGTTATACTGAAATCGGACCAAATCTGTAGGAGGAGTAGCATTTTGAAAGAATTTCAAAGAAATTTCTATTTTTAGTAACCAAGGCAACACCGTTCATCGAAATCAAAAACCGATGCACAGAATTATGTATCTTAGTGTAGTCTACTTGTGTGCCAAGTTATAATGAAATTGGACCAAAACTGTAGGAGGAGTAGCATTTTGAAAGAATTTCACAGAAATTTCTATTTTGTGTAACCAAGGCAACACCGTTTATCGAAATCAAAAACCGATGCACAGAATTATGTATCTTAGTGTAGTCTACTTGTGTGCCAAGTTATACTGAAATCGGACCAAATCTGTAGGAGGAGAAGCGTTTTGAAAGAATTTCAAAGAAATTTCTATTTTTAGTAACCACGGCAACACCGTTCATCGAAATCAAAAACCGATGCACAGAATTATGTATCTTAGTGTAGTCTACTTGTGTGCCAAGTAATATTGAAATTGGACCAAAACTGTAGGAGGAGTAGCATTTTGAAAGAATTTCAAAGAAATTTCTATTTTTAGTAACCACGGCAACACCGTTCATCGAAATCAAAAACCGATGCACAGAATTATGTATCTTAGTGTAGTCTACTTTTGTGCCAAGTAATATTGAAATCAGACCAAAACTGTAGGAGGAGTAGCATTTTGAAAGAATTTCACAGAAATTTCTATTTTTAGTAACCACGGCAACACCGTTCATCGAAATCAAAAACCGATGCACAAAATTATGTATCTTAGTGTAGTCTACTTGTGTGCCAAGTTATACTGAAATCGGACCAAAACTGTAGGAGGAGTAGCATTTTGAAAAATTGTTTACAGACAGACAGACAGACAGACAGACAGACGGACAGACAGACAGACGGACGGACGACGGACGCATTACTATCGCATAAGCTCTTCTGGTCTCTGACCAGTAGAGCTAAAAACAAATTGATTATTACTATTTTAACAGTAGTACTTACAGGAGCTACAGCGTTGACCCTGACCCCTGAGGCCGCCCACTCCAAGGACAAAGATTTTGTCAGATTGTCCACGGCTGATCGTGCTGCTCCTGTGTGACTTACAAATATCTGCACATTGTTAGCTTCACAGTAGTACATGAATAACATGTAAAACTCTAACATAGGTAATCAAAGATTACGAAGCTCTCTCAACGAATGTAATCAGTCTAAGTAATGCGAATCTCAAATCATATTATTATCTTAACAGTTAGTATTTATTCTGACAACAATATTCAAGCAAGTTCTGTTTAAATAGGTCTTAAAGTACATTGGGAATTGATGTGTTCCAAAAACTTTAACCTGGTCACTCCTTTGGAAAATGTAGGTCAGATCCAGCATCCAAGGCAAGTTTTGATTGTTCATCCTTAGATGCATCATCCATGCAAGTTTGGTCTAGGAAGGGCTTATAGTTACTTGGGAATGGACCTCCTCCTAAAACTTTAACCTGCATGGTCACTCATTTGGAAAATGTAGGTTAGATCCAGCTTCCGAAGCATGTCTGGTAGTGTTCATCCCTAGATTCATCATCCAAGCAAGTTTGGTCCGGGTAAGGCTAATAGTTACTTGGGAATGGACCTGCTCCAAAAACTTTAACCTGCTCACTCATCTGGAAAATGACTAGGGCAGATCCAGCATCCGTAGCAAGTCTGGTAGTGTCCACCCCTAGATGCATCATCTATGCAAGTTTGGTCCAGGTAGGGCTTATAGTTACTTGGGAATGGACCTGCTCCTAAAACTTTAACCAGGACACCAATGCTAACGCCGATACCGATGCCAGGGGTATAGCATATAAGCTCATCTCGACTTCGTCAAGGTGAGCTAAAAATAACTCTCTTAAAAAAAAAGAAGAAAAACGAGGAGTGACAAGCTAATTTATTGATAAAAAAAATACCATATACATCATGTACATGTACAGATACCTTAATGTAAATCTTACTTGTATATACACAAAATTTTCTCCAGTTAATGTGCATATGAAAGTCAACATCCATGCAAGCGTACTTTGATTGATTGATCAGGTCGAGACCACTAGATTTTCTGACCGTCGGCATAAATTTGCATGTAAATTAGCTATTTGCATGTTTACTTTACCTACTGCTGAATGAGCCGCAATGCATTGTGGGCTACTACAAGTACTCAGCTGTGTTGAAAATAAAGGACAACTTGAATTGTCCCTTGGAAACTTATTTTCGATTCTTTTTTGGAGATTTGTGAAAGAAATATTTAAAATGGTGTATAATCTTTCATTTCTATGCTCACATTCACAAAATTTCTTTATGAAGACTTATATCAACTTATAATACATCGGCCTAATCCATTGTTCAAACAGACATAGGTGCTATCGTGTCGGTAAAACATTAAATTTTTTCACGTGATATACGTGTACATAGTTTTAGCAGGTAGTATATAGGTCCTTGGTTTTAGACAGCAGGAGAAGATGACGTGCAATTATTATTTAACCCCTCAATATTATCAGAAAGTGTTTTATGTACATGCAAACGTCAAAGCGTTCGTACGGTATCCGAAGCAACTATTTATCATCTAAAACACCTCTAATATTAAATGTGAGCATGGAACAATGTCTTTAGAATATAATCTTTCGATTTCGGTCTTACAAAGTGATCAAGAAGCTCTACAGTTTTTCCGGTGACGAGTTAAATATTGTGCACTAGACCGACAAAAACCACGTGTCGCCATTGAATCGTAAACACGTAGTAGAGAACACCAAACACGTAACGAACGAATATCGGTTTAACGAACGGTAAACTTGTTTACTTTGTGATTACCTGTGTAACTGACGAAACGTACGGACGAATCACACGTATAGAATTAAAATTATTTGTCAATTTGATAAGTATGATCGCGTTGGTGTTCCATGTACCAGTATGATATAAATATATGCATATGTTCAGGTGTGTTTTTATTGATTCCTTTTAATAAACTTATAATAAATGAAAATTAATCCATATTATATTAAAGCATTGACAGACCAGAGGGGGGTTCCGTGGGTTTGAACCCCACCTATTTTTGTAGAGAGAGAGAGAGAGAGAGAGAGAGAATAGCTTTTCTGTAATATAGATATTTATACGTCTAATCATTTCAATAAATTTAATAAAAAAAAAATCGCTGTCCTTTCTGCTCGCTAGATCTGTAGATTTTCCGTATTTGCGCTTTCCTCCTTGTACCTTCACAACCCCGTCTAAGGGCCCCGAACATGCAAGGAGGATTTCAGCGAACTTTAGCCATAACATTTTTGGACCATCTTCAGAAGTAACTAACTTTTAGAAGTATGCATACTAATTATTTTTAATCAATATAGGAAAATGTTAAAATGTTTCTGTAGTATGCAGAAGGAGGGGGCTCACTTTTTTTGAAAATAATCTTTTGCTGCAGTTTTAAAAAATACAGTTGTATTTTGTTTTGGAAGCTCCCTCCACATCTTTTGATGCTGGAAAATAAACAGATTCAAGATTGAAAGTAATGTACCGAACAGAAAAGTGACACCAAGCCCTCTCTACCCCCTCCCAATTTTAAAAAGTGGTGTATAGTTTTTTTCTTTTGTTTTATATGTGTCTTTTTTTTTTTTTGCTTGTCAAATGTTTTTGGAGCCCCACCCCCTTCTTATCAATGAAACTACGGACTTGAGGTGGCATAGAATCACACCATGGCCACCTCAAGTCCGTAGCTTCATTTATAAGAAAGGGGGGACTCGAAAAACTATGATTAACAACTCTTAACTTTAAGTTCACGGTTGTAAATTATAGTTTACAGACGTGAATCTATGTTTATCAACAAAATCTATCGTTGACGTTCTCTTACATACAGATAAACTTAGATTAGCATTCGTAAACTATAGTTAACAACCGTTAAATTTAGTTTTACAGATGAAAACTATAGTTAACGAATTGTTAACTATAGTTTACGGTTTGTTAACTATAGTTTACAGTTGATAAATCTAGTTTATCAATTGTGAAACTAGCTCATTTTTGTGAATTTGGCGTGCCATACTTATAGGTTGTAACAATTATCACTACGACGCTTTGCAAGAACTGAGAACAATTTAACAATAGATGCAAGTTCCCATCTAGGGTGTTGATATAAGGAACCCGACATAGATATAATAACCCTAAATTGGTTGTTCATATCTTAATAGGAAGTGAAGAAATATGTATTAGCCCTGAAACTGCCTAAATATTTCTTCAGTGGTGGATCCAGAATTTCAAAACGGGGGGGGGGGGGGGTGGCAGTATAAGACTTGGAAGTCTTGGGGCTGCATTAAACCCCAGTGGGTCCAGGACACAGCCCTGGTAGCGAAGCCCCGGGAAACTGAGGAACTCTATAACAAATTAGAGGTGTTTTCCTGTTGGTTTGAAGATAATGCAAAACAAAATTAAAACATAGGTAATCAGAGATTACAGAGCTCACCTCAACGAATGTTGTCTTTAAGTAAGGCAAAGTCACACAATTAACCAACTAAAAGTATACATTCCAAAAATGAAAATATTTTTAAAAGCAATTTTGATCTGATACTTTGAAATAGACCTACATAAAAAATTTAAACTACTTCTTCTTCATGAAAATGTAATGAAAATCCAGCATCTGAAGCAAATTTGAGAGTTTTCATCTCTTGATGCAGCATTTGTGAAAGTTTGGTTTATACAATGTTATATAAGCCTTATAGTTTTTGGTAATAGACCTGCAACCATAACTTTTACCTTGTCTATTATCTGAAAAATGTATGTCCAATTCAGCATCCGAAGCAAGTCCATTAGTGTGCATCCTTAGATGTATCATCCATGCAAGTTTGCTCATTATAGGGCTCATAGTTTATTGGAAATGAAACATGCATTAAAACTAACATTTTCACTCATCCACAAAAAGTAGGTCAGATTCAGCTTCCGAAGCAAGCCTGGAAGTATGCATCCTTAGATGTATCATCTATGCAAGACTGGTCATTAAAGAACTCATAGTTCCTTGGAAATGAAACCTGCACCAAAAACTTTTAACTATTCACTCAACTGGAAAATGTAGGTCAGATTCAGCATCCGAAGCAAGCCTGGTAGTGTGCATCCTTAGACGTATCATCCATGCAAGTTTGGTCAACATAGGGCTTAAAGTTACTTGCAAATGAAACCTGCACCAAAAACATTAACCTGTTCGCTCAACTGGAAAATGTAGGTCAGATTCAGCATCCGAAGCAAGCCCGGTAGTATGCATCCTTAGATGTATCATCCATGCAAGTTTGGTCAACATAGGGCTTATAGTTACTTGGAAATGAAACCTGCACCAAAAACTTTAACCTGTTCACTCAACTGGAAAATGTAGGTCAGATTCAGCATCCGAAGCAAGCCCGGTAGTATGCATCCTTAGATGTATCATCCATGCAAGTTTGGTCAACATAGGGCTTATAGTTACTTGGAAATGAAACCTGCACCAAAAACTTTAACCTGTTCACTCAACCGGAAATTGTAGGTCAGATTCAGCATCCGAAGCAATCCCGGTAGTATGCATCCTTAGATGTATCATCCATGCAAGTTTGGTCAACATAGGGCTTATAGTTACTTGGAAATGAAACCTACACCAAAAACTTTAACCTGTTCACTCAACCGGAAAATGTAGGTCAGATTCAGCATCCGAAGCAAGCCCGGTAGTATGCATCCTTAGATGTATCATCCATGCAAGTTTGGTCAACATAGGTCTTATAGTTACTTGGAAATGAAACCTGCACCAAAAACTTTAACCTGTTCACTCAACCGGAAAATGTTGGTCAGATTCAGCATCCGAAGCAATCCCGGTAGTATGCATCCTTAGATGTATCATCCATGCAAGTTTGGTCAACATAGGCCTGATAGTTACTTGGAAATGAAACCCACACCAAAAACTGCACCAAAAATGTTAACCTGCTCCAAAAACATTAACCTGGTAATTCCTTTGCTGAAATTGCAGCATCTGAAACTTTGTCTGGTACAATAAAACACACTAAAACCATTTTCCATGCATGTCTAATCAGTATAGGACACAGAAGTAATTAAAAAGAAAACTGCTCCAAAAAACTTAACCTTAACCTGGGACGCCGACGCCGACACCGACGCCGACGGTATCACATAAGCTCCCCCCCAACTTCGTTGAGGTGAGCTAAAAAAAATAACATGTTATGGAACTTAAATTTGTGGCATTTTTTCTGGCCAGTTAAGTCCACCCATTCTTTGCAGAAAACATGCGTATTTGACAACAGTCAGCAAAGAACTAAAATATGAGCCCAGCCCACGATCCAAAAAAATAAAACATGTTTTTTGATCTTCAGAAACAGGTCTGTCATTATGTATTTGCATATTTTGGATCAGAGGTTGTGCTCTATATGAAATATTGAAAAAAATGCTTCAACTTTAGGTCATTTTCAAAGGAATTTACAGGATAAGAGGAAAATGACGCAAAGTATGACGTCATAATGCATTGACTAGATGGGAAATTACATCATGATTATTAGATACATGGTCACCAACAATCCAAGTGATAAATACTGCATTTGCAGCCTAAACTGAGCGGTTCTGATTTTTCAGAAATTCTCATTACCAAATAATTAAGGCCCAAAGTGGCTCTTGCTCTTAACTGCAATCAGGCTAACACTGTACGGGGATAAACTTTTGCAAGAACTTTATGCAGAAATTTCAATTTTTAAGAACCCTAGCAACACCTTTAATCACAGTAAGAAAACTTGAAAAATTCTTTTTCAGTGTATTCTACATGTGTGCCAAGTTATATTGAAATGGATAAAACTGTAGGGGGAATAGCGTTTCACACAAATTTCAATTTTCAAAATTTTGGCAACTTAGTTTACTTGTTTACACACAAACAGATGGACAACAGTCACCAATATGAAATACTGTCACATAAATCCTTCTGGTCAAGTAGATCAATAGCGCTAAACAACAGCACATGAACTATATAAAATAAATAATGCATTTTGAAGAGCAGTTATTTGACATATTTAAATCCCCTCTAACCAGGAAGTATAAACACCTGGCAGGTAAATAATACAGATGTGCCACATGATCAGTGTGTGTATACAGACTGCACTTGGAGATCGATCAAGGACGGCTGCCATAACGAAAGTGAGGTAAAAAAGTTTTAAGTATTTCTGTCCATATGAAAACAATTCTGAAAGTTACTAAAAATTCAGTACTGCAGGCTTTAATTATGCAAACAAATTTTCCTTCCTACAATGAACCTTGTATAATTAATATAAGGACTTGTTTACGTTACGTACATGAATATATCTGCCTAAAGGTCTCAGGCAAAATGTGGTTTTTAAAAGAGTCCAAAAAAATACACGTTGCTCTCAAATGTAAAGCAACTTATTCTTAATTAATTTTTTTATGCTTTAGTCACATAATCTAATGATGGACCCCCGTACCAGTGCCCAGGACGTGATGCGATGTGACCTGTGTGAGACCGCTGTGGTACAGATGCACTGTGATACATGTCTTGTCAACCTGTGCACAGCTTGTGTAGGAAAACACATGATATCTGATCAATCAATCAATCACAAAGTTGTCACTATTCAGACCAGAAAATCCACTCTCCTATACCCTGTATGTACATCTCATGCAAAAGAACAATGTGAAATGTACTGTAAACAATGTGACATTCCTGTCTGTCTTAGCTGTCTGGCATCTAAACATCATTTAGGGCATGAATTATCTAAAATAGTGCAAGTTGTTGGTGAGAAGAAAGATATGATTACAAAAGAAAGAAATGAATTAAATGATACAATTTACCCAATCTACAAGGACATTGCCTCTGATGTACAAAACAGAATGAGTCAGTTACAAAAGGAATATGGTGATCTCTCAACAGCCATAACAAAACACGGAGAGGACTGGCACAGAGAAATTGACAAACTTGTCAAGAAACTTAAAGCTGAAGTTGATGAAATGAAAAACACACAGTTACAAACTCTACAGAAACATCTGGATGAAATAAATAAGACAATGTCTGACATCAAGGAAGAAATTGATTCGATGGAAACTGCAATAGACACCAATGACTTGTCAAAACTATTAAATGTATCATCCAATGTACACACATACGGATATCTTCCTCACAAAATTATACCACCTTTACCTAAATTCATTCCAAGAAAAATGCATCAAGAAGAACTAAGTAAAATGTTTGGAGCATTATCATCAAGTTCTTTAACATCAGATGAACATGGCTACAGCATGAAGACAACACAGAAATCACCAGAAGCTGGATCCTCTCCTCCAGTCAAACAGCTGCTTGATGAACCAAAGACTGTCACCACCATACACACTGGGTATACAAATTACTTAGACAATGTGGCCTGTCTGAGTGATGAAGAAATCTGGACAAGGGGAAATGACAACACCATGAAACTCTTCAGCATCAATCAGGGATCACTACTCAAGTCAATCAGAATCAAGTCAGGGAACGAACCATCTAGTATAGTAGTGACAAAAAGTGGAGATCTAGTTTATACTGATTTTTATGATAGAACTGTGAACATTGTGAAGAATGAGAAGATAGAGGAGGTGATCAGACTACAGAAATGGAGACCTAAAGGTGTCTGTAGTACCTCCTCTGGTGACCTCCTGGTTATCATGGATTATAAAAAACAATCTAAAGTTGTCCGTTACTCTGGCTCCACAGAGAAACAAACCATTCAGTTTGATGATAAAGGTAAACCTATTTATACAGTTGATACTAGATATATAACTGAGAACAGGAATCTAGATATTTGTGTGTCTGATGATGGAGCTAAAGCAGTAGTGGTGGTCAATCAGGCCGGGAAACTGAGATTTAGGTACACTGGACATACTCCTGCTCCAAAGAATGAACCATTCAGTCCACGAGGAATCACTACAGACAGTCAGACTCACATCCTTACAGCTGATGAATACAATCATTGTGTCCACATCATAGACCAGGATGGACAGTTCCTCCGTTACATAGACTGTGGACTGAGTGTTCCCTATGGACTTTGTATAGATACAAATGACAATATGTTTGTTGCTCAATTGTTGAAGAAACAAGTGAAGAAAATCACATATCTGAAGTGAAATCTTTGACCATTTACAGTAAATCATGACAGTTATTTATCTTAAAATTATAATAATCATACAAAGGCACTTTTATGTATTTATTATGATTAATGTATGTAAATATGCTACAATGTCTTTTGCATTTGCTATATATAAATGTAAATATGATGTTTGATGAGTGGAATGTCAAGGAAAAATATAGTCTAAATTATAACGTTGTCAAAATTTCCACTGTAAATCAAAGCATGTAGCATTCTACATCTATCTGGATATAAACTACCCTGATTCCAATGCAAATTGTGTCACTTCTGTTTGACACAAACAACAAACTATCCTACTTACACACACAAAAGCAATAACTGCATCCTTATCTACTCCATTGCAATGTAAGAATTGTTCTACAATGTGTTTGCAAAGGGGATGATTAAGAGTTAAAAAGAACAAGGTTTACTTAAGGCCAATTTTGGCTCTGTGAATTTCAAGAACATAGCAATTTTCACAAAGCTCATTTTTCTATCGCTGGATTTGCAGAAGAAACTTTTTTTAAAGGAATGCAAGTACTAAGTCTCATCTTTATACTGATGTTAGTTATGGGATATTGTGACTTGGTCAGTTAATTGGTATATGGGCAGGGCTATTTTATGGATAGTGAATATAGCTCCTTGTTGTTAATAAATGTATTGCATAAATATCTAATAGAAAACACGATCATCACAGATGACTGAGATGAGATGCAGTATAAAGTTCTGACCCCCTCCAATTTTTTGTATTTGTTATTTGTATACATAACCTACCTCTACTTGGTCATCACAGATGAGATGCAGTATAAAGTTCTGGATTTCCTTTTTGTGCTTTGTCTGGATCATGGTAAAGAGGTTACAGAACACCATGACCTGGATATAACCGAGGATTGCTACACGGGAATGCCAGGACTTCAGCCCCATCACCTAAAGAAATCAAGGACATAATTAGGAATAAAGCTTCCATTATTCTAATCAATATGACCCTTAAGATCCTAGCCACTTCATCAAATCTTCAACAGTATATCTTCTAACCATGGCGAGAGTCTAATTACTTTATACCAGAAACTTAAAATATGGATTCTACGTTTTTTGTAACTGAGAAGTTCCTACGATAATTACTGTGTTTTAGATAATATCCATTGGACAGGATATGCAATTTAAATTCAATTTCAGATTCATATCTTGTTTTAGCCCTGTTTCTGTTGTACTCACTTCTCTGATGGTCTCCAGACACACCGTGACATTGTTCTCCTGAATCAGAGCCTGAGAGAAGCAGGCCAGGGCCATAGAACAGTCAGTCTTCAGTTCCTCATCCTTAGTCTCACTCTCTAACGTGCAAATCTGAGGGAAAATCAAATGAATCTCAATATCAAAAAGTCATTTTAAACCTAAAGAATTTTTCTGTATATTTTTCATCACTCTGGTTAAATACATGTACATGTGGGATCATGTCATATTTTGAGAATATTTACGAATTTAACAAGAGATCAGACTTGCATATTCTGCAATCCTAAAAAAAAATACTTACAACTGGAAGAAAAAGGAAAAGCTCTGGTGTAGTTGAGGTAAACATTCTACCTAGTCCATCAGATATCCACTTCAGCACTGCAACAAAAAATGATGAATAAGTCCACCCATCATAATTCTTTTCATGTTTTATAAATGAAACCATAATCTTTGTTAATTTACATGTATATTCAGACAGGTGTAAGCCCCCTCACCTGTTTTACACAGCCTTATGGTTGTCTTCCTCTCTTCATCCTCGTCATCTTCCACCTCCATCTTCTCTGACAAGGAAGACATCTCTCTGTGGTTCTCCTCATCTGTGAAAAATTCAAATACAACATCTTTAAAGACTTCTACCACCTCCTTGTGCTCATCAAAATACAGACTAGAAGTGTTTGTGTTTACTGATCCCTCCATATGGCAGCTTATAGCCAGGGTTGAATTCCCTCAAATGCATATCAAACTCAAAAAGTCAAGGTCAAAAGGTCATCATGTTACAAGGAATACACTTGTGAAATATGAAAGCCTTAATTCTACATTGTAACTATGCAAAAGTTATGACCAAGGATTAAAGTTTTTAAAAAGCGGGTCAAATACTTAAGTCAAGGTCAAAAATATTTATACCAGCAGAAAGGTCTTGTTACAATAAATACACATGAAGTGTGAAAGCCCTAGCTCCAACTGTTGAAGTTATGGCCAAGGTTAAAGTGTGGTATTTTTTTGTTAAACTCCAAGGTCAAAGTCAAAAGGTCAAATTGGTGGTACCTGAAGAAAGATCATGTCACAAGAAATACACCTGTGAAATATGAAAGCCATAGCCCCATCCACTCAATTGTTATGGGCTGGGTTAAAGTTGACAACAGACAGACAGAAAAACAGACAAACAGAACAAATCCAATATACCCTCGGGATCTTTTGATCCTAAGGCATATACCCCAAGTATCTTTCGATTCCAGGGCATATAAAGTTATAAATGCAAAATATGATTACAGTTTTTCAGACCATTACAAGTTCAATCTTTATGAAATCAGAATCAGAACCTACCCTTTGAGCTGCCATTATTTCCATTGTCTGATAGCACCAGGTCTTTGAGTGGTTCCAGTTGTGGAATCACTTTCTGGACAAAGTCCACTCTGTGTGGAGATTTAGTGGAGGAACCTGCAGTGATGCTGTAGTCATACAACATGATGTTGGACAGCAGGCTGTAACAGAAAAATAACTCTAAAAAGTTTTCCATCAAAAATTTCACTTACAAATTGAAAAAAATGATGTACAGTAAAACTTGTATAATCCACTAATCAGACAGCACTGCTTCCATGGACATTTATCTGATTAATCAACTTCCTTGGTTATATATTTAAATCAAACTATATCAAGACCATACCTTCCAATCCTGTCCCTGACATTCTTATACCTATGGGAGAGGTACGGAGTCAGGAATTCTAACAGACGATGGAGGAGTTCTGGAACTCTCCATTCCTGTTGTACTAATGCATTCTGCACAGCAAAAAGACGACTACAAAATATGAAAGGAAATCAATCAGTCTCTTAGTTTCAAAAACATCATTCTAGGTTTTTTTTTCAAGCAGTTGGGGGGAGGGAAATCACTTGAGGATCATTTATGAACATTTTATCACTCATCAACTCTGCAGAACTTGTGTTAAAAAAAGTTAACTGAATGGTTATCCAATGAATTCCCCTTTGAATTTTTAAATAACATGCATATCTCTGATATCTCTCCATCAGTAATTTTACCTGGAGTCTTCAAAAGAAGAGGATCCCTCCCTGATTGGTTTATCCATGAGCATCTCAAACAATCGATACAGTCTCCTGGGATCTCGACTCTCGGACACCACAGTGAAGAACGTCCCCCCAGTCCTTCAGGGTCTCACTGGTGATGTTATCTAGGGAGGTTCTCAGAATGGGGATAACCCAGTCCCAAAGGGCATTCACCTATAACAAAATTCCAGAAATTTTACATGCAAATTAATTCTGTACTTAAGTTTGCCTTAGCAAGGTGACTTCTTCACGTGATCGGTCAGCATGGACGTGTAATTGTCGGCTCAGTAAAGTTGGTCGATTTAAGGTGGATGTAGGTCAAAATTTTCTACAAATCTTGTCCAGGGATTGTATTTATGTGTGTTCTCTGTGATTATCTGTGAATATTTGTGTTACATTCAGACTTTAGCGGCAAAAACAGAAAAATGTCTTCGAACGCTGGTAAAGCTAAAGGTGGACGCGTAAACAACTCACGGAACAAAAGAACTGAACAGAGTTCACCCGAGGAATCGGCAGAAAGATCAATAGCTGAAGAAAAGGAAAAAGTTGAGTCTATAGAAAATGGTCTTAAAAATGTACAGAAAACGTTGCAGGGTATAAGTAAAAAGTTACCAAAATATGAACATGTAGAGAGTGAAATAACAAGGATTACGTCATTGATCGAAGATCATGAAACTGGGTTAACAACTTCTTTGAAGTATGTCGCAGAACAATCTGAAAGTAACAGTGATGAACTATATTTTGTGAGGTCAGAGAATGCACAATTACGCAGAGAGCTTGACCTAATGCGTGCTATGATGATACATATGGACCGCAGAATGCAGAACATGGAGTCAGAAATTACAGACTTGAGATCGCGATCAATGCGTGACAATATTATGATTCATAATTTAGCATACGCATCGGATGAAAAGCTGGATCAACAGGTTCCTAACATTTTGAAGGAATATCTTGGGGTTGAGGTGAAGTTTGTCCGAATACACAGAAATAGCGTAAGAGGAACGATTAATTCAAGGCCAGTATCCATCACTGGTAAATTGGTGGACGGCAGGAAAAAGGATGAACTTCTCCGCGCTCAAAAACAGAAAAAGGCAGAAAAAGTGGAACTACCATTCTACATTACAGCCCAAGAGCCAGCGTCAACTCTGGAGGAGCGTAAGCGTTTATACGAAATTTCCGACTCCTTCAGAAAACAACATATAACATGTAAAATTGAAAAGGGGCGTGTGGTTATGCCGAATGGACAACGATATGTCGACCCTATTCCAAAGCTGGAAATATCAGATGCGCTTAAGATCGGTCCGGAGGAAACAGCGAAACTGGATAATGTGAACATCGTATACACAGAACCGACCAGGGTAAAGAATTCCGAGATTTTTGCCACGGGAAGAAAAATTCACGCGATAGAGGAGGTGAATGAACTTTATAAAAAAGTGAGCATTGATCCTGTTTCGGCGGAGGCAGATCATCGCATCTTAGTTTATAGATTTATAGACAACTTAGGAAAGTTACAGGAAAGCTACTGGGATGGAGGTGAACATTGGGCAGGTCGCCGCCTGTTGAAGTACATGCAATCTAACGAAATAGTTAACGTCGGAATTGTGGTTACGAGATGGAATGGTCGTACCTTCCTTGGGCATGAACGTTTTCGTATTATGGAAGAGCATGTCAGTGATATTGCAAATCAAGTGGATGTGGACTAGGTATACACTGTATATTAGTGCTCCATTCTGTATAGGGCTTAAACCGAGCCACCAATTCGGAACTTTTAAATCCGTTTTTTTTTTCGGAACTATACAGTATGTTTGCATGGTTCTGTAGTTAGTATCCTTTCTTTACATCCAGTGACATAGTGAGGTAAACATTAACTGGGAAATATATGACAATGCTACAATTTTTTAAATATTTGACCTTTAATTTTCCTTAAATTTCGACCAATTTAAAGTGCACAAAATTTTCAATGAATCTTTTCTATACGTGGGTATTCTATTTACTTTACTTTTCTAATTCTTTGTGCAGTGCAGCTGTATACGCGTACAATAATGAGGGAATTGACACAATTTGCAGAATTTTGATACTTAAAATAAACATATATCCATATGTCAGAAATTAAAATAATATCTGTCAACTGTCAAGGTTTAAATGATGCAATGAAAAGAAAAGATGTCTTTCACTACTTTCGACAAAAAAAATGTAGTATTCTGTGTCTTATTGACACTCATTTTATAGAAGAAAACGAACAAATCATTAGAAATGAGTGGGGATATGAAGCTTATTTTAGTTCCTATATGTCGAATTCAAGAGGAGTTGCAATTTTTTTCAACAATAATTTCTCATTCAAGGTTCATGATCAGTTTTTAGATACCTCTGGTAACTACTTGGCATTAGAGATTACTATAGAAGGAAAAAAAATTACATTGATAACTATATATGGACCAAATGATGACTGTCCAACATTTTTTGAAAATATAGCCAATATGATTTCTAGACTAAATAATGAGGTCATTATTGCTGGAGATTTCAATTTAGTTTTAGATCCAGCTAAGGACTATTCTAATTATTTGCATGTGAATAACCCTAGGGCAAGACAAGTAGTACTTGAGATAATGAACACATATAATTTAGTGGACATATACAGAGAATATCATGTTGATGACAAAAGATTTACATGGAGGAAATCTAATCCCTTAAAACAGGCAAGGCTAGACTTCATACTTCTTTCCAACTCTCTTCTAAATAGTGTAAAAAAATGTGACATCTTAGGAAGCTATAGATCAGATCACTCAGCAGTGGTTTTACATCTTAAAATTAATGAAATAAAGCATGGGAAAGGTTTATGGAAATTCAACAATTCTCTTTTGAAGGATCCTGACTATATTGAACTGATAAACAATCATATTAATGTAATTAAAAAACAATACGCTGTTCCAATATACGTAGAAAATTCTATAGATGAAATACCAAACTCTGAAATTCATTTAATTATTAACGATCAGTTATTTCTTGAGACGCTATTAATGGAATTAAGAGCTAAAACAATATCTTATGGAAGTTATGTTAAAAAAAAGAATGTACAGAGAGAGAAAGTTTTAATCCAGGATATATCGAAACTGGAAGAGGAATATGCGTCTTCTATAGAAAAATTAACTGAGAAAAAAAGAGAATTAGAACAAATAAGACAACATAAATTAATGGGAAATGTGATAAGGTCTAGAGCCAGATGGATCAGTGATGGTGAAAAACCAACAAATTATTTTCTAAATCTTGAGAATAGAAATTTTACAAACAAAGTAATTCCTAAACTTATTAAAACAGAAAATAATGAACAAGTGGAGATAACAGAACAATGTAAAATTCTCTTAGAAGTGGAAAATTTTTATAAAAGATTATACATGCCTCAAGAAGAGGATCATAATTTAAATCTTAGAGAGTCTTTAGAAGAGTATAATGTCCCAAAGTTAAATGAACATGAAAGTTTTCTATTAGAAGGAAAGATTTCTTATAGAGAGGCATCAAATGTGTTAAAACAAATGTCTAATAATAAAAGCCCGGGTAGTGATGGATTTACTGCAGAATTTTTTAAAGTATTTTGGAAAAATCTGGGTCATTTTATTGTTCGATCATTAAACTTTGGTTATGAAAATGGGGAACTCTCCTCCACACAAAAACAGGGAATAATTACATGTATACCCAAAGAGGGCAAAAGTAAATTTCAGCTTAGTAACTGGAGACCAATATCATTGTTGAATGTGATTTATAAAATTGGATCAGGTTGTATAGCACAAAGAATAAAACAAGTTTTACCTAAAATAATAAGTTCAGATCAGACAGGATTCATACCTGGGAGATACATTGGAGAAAATACGCGGCTTATATACGATCTGATGGATTATACTGAATTAAAGCAAATCCCTGGAATGTTAGTTATGATAGACTTTGAAAAAGCTTTTGACACAGTGTCATGGAAATTTATAGAAAAAACCCTAAATTTTTTCAATTTTGGACAATCTTTTTGTAAATGGATAAAAACTTTTCAATGTAATTCAAATTCATGTGTGACCCAGGCTGGTTTTTTATCCAATTTTTTCAAATTAGGACGTGGCTGTCGACAAGGGGACCCAATTTCACCATATATATTTCTCCTTTGTGCAGAGATATTATCAATAAAGATTAAAAACAATAAAGATATTAAGGGAATTGAAATAGGAAATACTGAATTTTTAATGTCACAGTATGCTGATGACACAATGATAATTTTAGATGGGTCAGAAAAATCACTTCAGGCTTTAATAAAGGAAATAATAGAATTTTATAATATGTCAGGACTAAGGATAAATCGGTCAAAAACCCAAGTGGTATGGATAGGTAGTAAGAAATACTCTAATGACAGAGTTTGTCCAGAGATGGAATTTATCTGGACAACCAATTTCAAACTTCTTGGAATTTATTATGATGTAGATCTTGCAAAGATTACTAGATTAAATTATGACAAAAAACTTGTTAAAATCAAATCAATTATAGATCAGTGGAATAAAAGAAACTTAACACCGATTGGGAGGATAACTCTAATCAAATCACTTCTTGTATCTCAACTTAACCATTTATTTATATCCTTACCAACCCCACAAATTAATTTTCTGAAAAACTTGAGCAATATACTTTTCAATTTTCTATGGAAATCAAATGTTGATAAAATTAAAAGAAATGTTGTTACACAGCAATATAAACATGGTGGTTTAAAAATGATTGATATTGGCTGTTATATAAAAGCTTTGAAATCAACATGGATAAGGAGAATTATTAATGACAAAAACTCCAAATGGAAAATTTTGCTTGAAAATATAATTGATACTAACAAACTAATAAATACAGGATCAGTATGTTTATCAAACTTTAATAAGTGTTTACACAATCAGTTTTGGAAGGATACATTCAATGCTTTTCGGGAAATCCAAGATAATTCTGAAATTACAGACTGGAATGAATATGTTAACCAACCTTTATGGTTGAATAAAAATTTCAAAATTGGAAAACAATCTGTCTTTTATAAATTGTGGTATGAAAATGGTATTACTCATGTGTTAGATCTCCTAGATGAACATAACAATTTTCTATCATTAGAGGATCTACAAAATAAATTTAAAATTAAAATAAATTATGTGACATATAATGGTATTAGACAGACAATACTAGCAGACTTAAAGAAATACAATTTTTATAGAAATGGATTAATGCAAAGACCAATGATTCCTTTTAATATTAAAATATTTATCAATACCAGGAAAGGATCAAAACCTATGTATGATATTTTAAATAAGCCAGTTATCAAACCTTCTGGTAAAAATAAGTGGGCTAGATATTTTGAAATAACTGATATACAATGGAAAACAATTTATAATCTTCCATTCCTCGTGACACGGGATTGTAAATTACAATGGTTTCAATACAGAATTAATCATCATATTCTAACTACAAATAGTCTCATGTATAAAATAGGTAAATCTGATACCAAGTATTGTACTTTTTGTGAAGATGAAGAGGAAACAATTTATCATTTAATCTGGGAATGTAATGTTGTTCAGCAATTCTTAAAAAAATTCATACGTTTATGTCAAGCCAAAGACATTGAATTGAATCTCAATGCAAAATCATTTATTTTTGGTGAAAATGACAAAAATGAAAATTCAGAATACTTCAACACTATGTTGATATTAATGAAGCATTATATTTATAAAGTTCGTTGTCAGAATACCTGTCCATCTATCCAAGGTCTTTTAAATTTATTTAATACATATTTTAAAACTTTAAAACACACCATAATAGAGGATAAAAAACTGACAGATTTTAATACTTTCTGGCAGAAATGGGTTGTTATACTTTAATTAATTTACCTTCTCTGTAATTATTATCATCAGTTCTTTTTTCAATTTTTTAGAAAAATCCCTCAAAACTGCACTGCACTAGTCTTTCTTTAGCTTCCTCCTTTTTCTCTCTTCTTTTTTTCTTTTTTTTTTTTTATTTCATATGGTAAGCTTAAAGAAAACTGATTATGTTTTAGGGCATAATATGTAATGCTTAGCTGCCTCTCCCCCCTCTCTCTCTCTTTCTCTCTCTCTCTCTTCATAAACTTTTACACTAATTTTGTATGTTCCAACCATAATTAGTCCTGTTTGATTTTGAGTGTACATATTTCCATACAGAAGTTTGAATGTTTGTAATATGTGTAAAAGTTTCAAGTTTCAATAAAAAAAAAAAAAAAAAAAAAAAGTTTGCCTTAGCACATACAGTGTTTGTATTCAGTTTTTTCGACACACACACACTCTGATATTTATGCCATATCAATGATTAATCATTACACATAATTTATGACTTGAAAGAGGACTCTGTGTTCTACCTTCTCGTAAGGCCAGTGTTTGGAGCCACGTATGACCCCTGCTAGGATCTCCATCCCACACCTCTGTTTACTTTCATGGTGTTCATGGCTCCTGTCTGACAGCAGCTCCACGATGTGGGATCTGAAGTGGGGGAGGAACGTGTCACCGTAATTCCTAAACAGACCCTGAAACACAACACCGAAATTAAAGGATACAAAGAATTCTTTGAATAGAAAATTCTACAGCACAGTCATCTTTGCTATCAATGATTTGCGATCCTCTCATGTTCATTTCCTTCTAATCAATTTTTTTCCCTTCTTTCATTGATGTATTTTATCAACTTTTTCAAAATGCAAAAAAAATTGTTAAAGAAAATGTGTCAATCTCCAGGACCTACCTTGAATAGAGTTAAATGTTTGTTCCTGAATTTATCTCGTCCTTTATGTTCCTCTAAACTAAGCACTCCTATAAACTTTTTCACAAACTCAGAGTCACTCAATTTCACATAAATAGGTTTTTCTATATCTAACAGTTCTGATTCTAGACGATCTAGTTTTGGCTGCTCTGAATACTGGGCATAAATTTTCATTTCTCTGCAACAGATTCAAAGTAAACAGTCATTATCAATTTCATCTCATTAATATTCAGTAGTCAAAATCATACAACAGAGTGTTACTACAGTTAAGTCATTGGAATAAGCAGCAAATTAAAATATACGAATCGATAGAAACAAATTTTGATTGAGCTATATTCCTTTCATTCAGATGGAAATAAGAACACAGTAAAATTAACCTTGAAATTCATAACGGGAAAATTTTAATGATCATGATCAATTAATTATTATCTAAATTGATAATAAATTACTTTGTGTTGTAATTAAAATCATACTTTGGCCAGCAGTAGTAACCCCAGTGAGTTTTATCCACGAACTCCATGGCCTCCCACTTCTCCTGATTGTCTGGTAGTCGGCCGGAGTCGTACATGATCCAGTTATTATCTGGACGGTTCCCAGGGAGGAAGGTCCCCGCCGGAGGTGGTGGGGCAGTCCGGTAGGGGTCCACCACCACCTTCTTGTGTTTTCTCTTCTGTTGCTTCAGAATGGCTGATACAGAGGCCATTGAAAGCTGGAGATAAAATAAGAACTATGACATGAAGGGAAGAGCAGTCTTCAAGGGAAAACAATCTGCTTATAGACCTTGTATCTGAATTTGGGGGGTCTCTGCTGTGTATTAATCATTTCTTTTATGGAGATCAAATATTTGATAATTTAGTACCCATTATCCATGAATAAACAATATCAACAAATATTAATCATAGGATTTATCTTTCAAAAGGAAATATGGCCTATGGAATTAGGACCCTTGCCTTGCCTTGTTACTCCATGATAACTAATTTAATTCAACAAAATATTTTGTTTTAATATCATTTTACCTTTCTGATGTACAAGGAGTCATGTATGAGGTTAGACACAAAGAGTTCCACAGCTACAGGAGGTGTAGGTACATCATGTCTCAGTAACAGTGTCAGCAGTTCTACAGCGTACTGACTGAACTTCCACATCCTAAGTCATACAAATAGTAAAATAAGTTAGATTTAATTTGTTAACTGATGTTTATCAAGAAAAAAAATATCGAAAAAGTGAAATACACCCTTGTAAATTTTTAAATAAAACTAACACTAACTTCTGAAATCACAAATGCAAGCACTTACAATGTTCCACCTTTAACTAATGCCACAAGGTCTTCCACGATTTTTACATACATCCTGCCAAATAAAAAGATCACATAAAAAAAGCAAATTCTTCAAATCAATTAATATATAGCATTTCATAACAATGCCACATGATTCAGACAAACCTGTTGTTGGACTCATTGCACTCTATCTGGAACTCCTCCCCCCGTTGGTCTGCCCCCTCAGTCAGTGTGTTGGGGCTGGATACAGGTACACCAGAGGACAGTAACTTCTGGGCAGCTTCCAAACAGCTGGAGGTTACCTTCAGAGATAAATCATACGTATTAAGTATAAAATGTAATAATTCTATCAATCAACAGGGAAAAGCGGGGGCATCCTCACATCATAAATTTTACATGGATATGTGCATGATACCGATCGTATAAAAATACACTGATACTCTGCATTAACTACAAGAAGATGCAGAGAAGTTAGCACAGACATCCTTGCACAGAAAAGTACGTTAAAAAAACTTACTTTGATTTCAATTCCTGGACTTTCCAGATTCTTGCTGACTTTAGCTATGATGTCGTCGACGACCCGTAAAATTGACGGTTTCTCAGATTGCTGGGCCTGGACAATGGCTGGCCATAACTGACCAATCACCTCCCAGCTCCTCTTGGTGGCCAGACATCTCTTACCACTGCCAAGGACCACATACAACACTCCCTATAAAGTAAAGGGACTCTTCATTTACTGTACACAAACCACATATAGCTTTTGACTGTTGAAATTATTACTGATATAATTTTTGTCAAAAGAAATTGAGTTAATACATTTCAAACAGGAATTGGCTTTTTCTTCCTAGCTAGAATATTGGTCAATGCAGTATAAACTGTATTCCCTTATAGTTAAAAAAAACATCAAAATTCTAAAACACTATTATATGAGAGGCACATCCACAAGTCTTACTTTGAACTGATTTTGGGGAGGATCTTACCTTGAACTGTTTTTCGGGTGTGTCTTTCTGTATGAGGCTGTCTGATATCTTACCTTGAACTGTTTTTCGGGCGTGTCTTTCTGTATGAGGCTGTCTGATATCTTACCTTGACCTGTTTTTCGGGCGTGTCTGTCTGTATGAGGCTGTCTGATATCTTACCTTGACCTGTTTTTCGGGCGTGTCTGTCTGTATGAGGCTGTCTGATATCTTACCTTGACCTGTTTTTCGGGCGTGTCTGTCTGTATGAGGCTGTCTGATATCTTACCTTGACCTGTTTTTCGGGCGTGTCTGTCTGTATGAGGCTGTCTGATATCTTACCTTGACCTGTTTTTCGGGCGTGTCTGTCTGTATGAGGCTGTCTGATATCTTACCTTGACCTGTTTTTCGGGCGTGTCTGTCTGTATGAGGCTGTCTGATATCTTACCTTGACCTGTTTTTCGGGCGTGTCTGTCTGTATGAGGCTGTCTGATATCTTACCTTGAACTGTTTTTCGGGCGTGTCTGTCTGTATGAGGCTGTCTGATATCTTACCTTGACCTGTTTTTCGGGCGTGTCTGTCTGTATGAGGCTGTCTGATATCTTACCTTGACCTGTTTTTCGGGCGTGTCTGTCTGTATGAGGCTGTCTGATATCTTACCTTGACCTGTTTTGGGGTGTGACTTACCTTGAACTGTTTTTCGGGCGTGTCTTTCTGTATGAGGCTGTCTGATATCTTACCTTGACCTGTTTTGGGGTGTGACTTACCTTGACCTGTTTTTCGGGTGTGTCTTTCTGTATGAGGCTGTCTGATATCTTACCTTGACCTGTTTTGGGGTGTGACTTACCTTGAACTGTTTTTCGGGTGAGTTACTTTGACCTGTTTTTCGGGCGTGTCTTACCTTGAACTGTTTTTCGGGCGTGTCTTTCTGTATGAGGCTGTCTGAGATCCTGTCCAGCAGACACCGGTAGCAGTAGGGAAAGTTCAGAAAACACTGCATCAGCACCGCCTGTCCCTTCTTCCTCACCTGTCAACAGAATAACAATCAATGAGCTCAAATTACTGGGCCATACATTTCTGTATGGATTTCACTAAAATATCAATAGCCATTAAACATACTGTGGTTTCATAATTTCTCACTGAACTTCTTTTTCTGGTATTTTAATGTTTGGGCCAGACCCAATTGTAAGAAATCAGTACAACTAACTACATGTATGTTAGACCCTGACAAGGTATATGTATATGTAGTTATCAACAAATTTCTTTATCATTGAAAAAAGCCTTTTTCCCAAAATCTGATCTCCACAAAAACTGATGAAACCACAGCAAAGTGAATGAGAGCCTTCAATGTACATCACTATAGATCACCCACCTCAGCATATTTACTGACAGCTAGATTGTAAAGGTCACATAGAATGTCCTGATGATGATCTGTATAGCCAGAGAGTCCATATAACATCCTCATCTGTACAAATACATACATACAATGAGGTATAAGTTTTGCTAGCTGCAACCATGTAGTCCTCTCCATAATATTTCTTTTTTATTGGGGGTGGAGATAAAAAATTGCATTTTTTTTCATTGGGGCGGGAATAAAAATTTGGAGACAGCTACATTATTGTACCTAATGTCATTCAAAATCAAAATTTGAATCTTCTCATTTAGACTGTACAAGATCAAAGGTAACATGTCATTCGGTACCTTTTAACAAATTGATTTAATGACAATAATTTAGATAGACTTTAGGAGAAGAGAATTCCTACCTCTTGTTGTAGAACAACTCTATCTACCAGTAAGGCTCGGATGTGTTTCCTTCTATCCCGCATCTACAGAAAAGTAATAAAACTACAGTACATATATATACAGATACATAAATGTACATGAATTAGTTCATTGCTAACAGATTTTTTTTCTGTTTTACACGTGCATTGTACAAGGATTTAATCAATTTATGTAGTATCTATAGGTTTCACTGTTACTTTTCTTTACCAATAATTCACGTATCAAAATTTTAAAAACAATTTAATCAAATAAGACACCTTATCTTCTAAGGCATCTTTTACAGAATGTAAACTCTTCCATCGAGCATCAAAGTCCTGTTTACTAGCACCATAGAAAAACAAGATGGTTTCATAGATCTGTAAAAGAAAAACAAGAATATTCAGCACAGAAAAAAAGAGTTACATTGTTATTATGGAACAATTCATGGATATTTCATTAAGAAAACTGACAGCCAGATATACAAAAGGAAATTAATCAACTACTCACTCAAAAGTTAGACAAGAATAAGTTGTCCAAATGACCTCAGGCCAAGGTCATAAGCATTGGATCATAGACAATGTATGTACATGTATTATAAATTAAGGTACCAAGGGTACAAACACTACCAAGCTTTGAACAAGAAGGTCTGGGCAGATGCATGGACAGACATATATTCCCTGTTTAATTTTTTGATTAAAAATAAATGTCTGAATAGTAATGGACACTAGTACCTTGATCAGTTTGGACAAGCTCTTTGTGTCATCCTCTGTGCACTCCATTAGGTAGTCTGGTAAGAGAAGTTCAGTTTTTATTGGAGAAAAAAAGAACATTTATTTGCTCATTTAAAATTAAACTGACTTTTAAAGATCCGAGATCCATACTTACTAAGCAAATGTTTCATGGCTTTTACGACCTCCAGTCTTAAGTTAGCACCTTTATACTGAATTTCTAACAAAAAATAAATAAAAACAATTGATTACGAGGAGATACATTGTACTCAAATGGAACAAAAACAAGAAATGTTTGATGCAATCAAGATGTTGAACACTGGATAAATGTTTTGTAAACTGTTAACAAAGGCTTACCTATTAACTCTTTCACAGATGAAACATGAAATCGATCCAATGGAACTTGTGTTTTAACATTCAGACTGGACCTAAAAAATACACGTAAACACAAACAAACTTTCATTTATACATGTGTATACTCAAAAAGAAAGATCACTGAATAAAAATTGTAAAAGAAAATAAATTAACACTTAATTTTAAGACTTACAGATCAACAGATGTTGATTTCCAGGCAGGAAGTGCTGCCCCCGCTCCTAGTAGGCACTCCAGTATAATGCTTAGTCTCTGTAACAACTCCTCCCTGTTAAATCAAGAAATATAAATAAAATTAAATCCATTAATTAATTTTTTTAAAACAAATCTTATACAATGCACAAATCTTTGAGAAAAGCCCCAAGAATGAGCATCTACTGTGAAAAAAATGACATTCCTAGATGCTGAATGGACAATGATTCTGAGGTAATTCTCACTTGTCAATCTGATTTGATGATGATAATGACATAATTTTCTCTAATTCTGGTTGTAGTATATGGTCCATCAGAGACTGTGCAAATTCTATTTCATCAGCTGAGGGGATGTGCCATTTCATGCCTAAGTCGTCCATATCACCAGGTATAGCCCAATCCTGTATAAACAATGAACTCAGTTGTCAGAGAGAATAACAAGGTCATATCCCTAATACAGATTGTATATGTCATCAAAGATATCAACATACTTATATTTACTTACAACAGTGCCCATTTGCATAAAATTTCAAATGAGATAAATATCAAGTTTTCACATATTTTCAATTATTCCCCAACCATTATCCTGCTTTGTGCATATTCCTTTAACAATTTAAATATTTTTTTCTTGCTGCAACATTTTAAATTAATGGCAGTAACTAAACAACAACTTTAAAACAGAGAAGTCTTTTACACAACTGAATAATAGACTGTCTTGGAAACGAATGAAGATGGCTCTCCCTGATTAGTCCACTTACATTAATAGCCAGGTACTCTGACACTGGTCTGTCAAATGACCCTGCCACACTCCTATAATCCAGTGGGAAGTGGAGAGTTAAGGCCCTTAGTGTGTACCTCATCAGCTGACAGGAGAGTTCGTAACCCTGGACACACTTCAGGTGAAGGGTCATCTGTAGAACTTCTAACAGCTGATCTTTGTAAGGCAGTAGGGCTTCACCATTACATCGGACAAGCTACAAGTGTAGAGAAACATTTTAGCTTTTTCCATGTGTAAATTACATGTAAAACGAACTGTAACAATGTTCAAAAATTATTTTTGACCAAACAAATAACAAGAATTATTTTTTCACAGATTTATCTATTGCCAATAACCATGAAATGGCTTCTGACCTGTGACAGCATGAGGAGATTCCACAAAAATCCATCATCAAGATGTTCTTCTGTTTTGTATTCCTCATCTACAAAAAAAAAAAATAATTACTTTAAATGAGTCATTTCTTAATATTTCATCATGGAAACAGTAATGCTTCTTCATCTATTAGAAAATGTCTCTTGCAGGTAAAACAAAAATTTTGAGTAATCATAAACACATTGAAAACCTTCAGTATCAAAGAACATTGTTTTTGGGGACCACTTTTGGCCCCTTTCAGTACTGGAGTAATATCATACACACTGTAGTTTATAATCAAACAATTTTAATCATTAGTGTATAAAATATACATCAACTTCAAAACAAGCACTCGTCCCTTCTATTAGAACTTATGTAACTTACGCTCAGTCATTAGATCTTTGATCTTTTTACAAAATGGAGGTAAAAACTTTTCTACTGCTCTTTTTGGATTTGCCTGTAAAATAAATTAATAACAATTGATCCCTAAAAATTACTGCACAAATTAAAATATACATAAGTACATATAAATTAACAAGTACATTAATGCATTTCACATTTAAGAATAAGACATTCACTGTACTTTACTAGTTTTAGTTTAAGGTTTAGTTAGCTGAGTCTTCATAGAATACCTTAGCCGCTGCCCTGCAGAGATTTGCAGCAAATCTTCCCCCAACATTGGTTTCATACACACTGGTGGTGATAAAGTTATATAAGCGTGACAGAGCCGACTGTAACAAAGAAGAGACATTACTTATCATTCATTAAAACCATAATTTTCATACTATTCTTTCCCCTTCCCTACAGAAAAAAGTTTACGTTTGAGTATGCTTTACTTCGATTAACTATAAGCATTATTCCTTTACATATAAGAGTGGAATTTTACCTCGTATATTGGTGTAGAACACTGGAGCAGCACTGAGGTGAAAGTAGAGGACAGTGCCACCTCCATCATGGTTTGTTCTGGGTTAAGTCGAGTCGGATCACCGTGGGTGTGCTCCTGGGTACTGTTCTCAATCAGAGCAAATACTCTAATAAAATAACCAAGGATATTAAATTTGCAGAATTTTTTGTGGACATAATTGTAACATTCTAGAGATTTTTGAAATGTAGAGGGGCAGTAAATAATGACAAACCTGTCCAGGAAAAGCAGTACAAAGTCCTCAAACTGAGCCGTGGCTGAACATAACTCTTTCTCCTCCTGTAATTTAAAAGATCAATAAAGATTTTTAACATTTTGATTTATAAGTAATAGTGTTGTCACGATGATCGATTTATAATCGATGATCGGTCGGAAAGGCTGTCAATTTTAGACAATCGATTGGAGATTTTAACAATCGATTAATCGGTATATTTCAGCACATATCTTTTTAACAGTTTCCTCACTTTTATTTCAAGAACAGGCTCTTGTTATCAAAATATATATATCTTCCAAGAGTTGTCCTTTCCTATTTTAAAATGCATGTACTTAAAATGTGTTTAAAATAAATCAAAAGATAATGATATTTGTATTTCTAAAATGAAGAAACTAAACTACATATGTTGTATAAATGAAATATATTAGTTTTCAGTATTTGGGGGATTAACTTGTCATTTCATTCAGAATCACAAGGATTTGCAATATTAAATGTCTTATAATAGTTAAAAAAATTAATATTCCATATACATTTTAGATGATCATGTAAATTAAAGCCTGATCTGTCAATGCTAACTTTCCCCAGGCCAAGTAATTCCTAATCAAGCAAAAATCTGTATTACTGAAATTGTTTATCAAACTGCATATATACTGTTAGAATTTCGATCTGTACAATGCACCTTAACTTACATTATTTAACAATAAAATTCTAAATTTTATAAAATCTAATGCCTATTTTATGCAAAGGGTTACCGATTCGATTATTGGCCGATGATCAGTTGGTTAGGGTCAACCGATGCTACCGATTAATCGATTCTGATTTTCAACCGATTTGACAACACTAATAAGTAATTACATGTTCATTTGAAGGTTACTGGTAGCAAGATTAGATTTGTTTATTTTTAAAAAGCTATTCCTTAAACTATCAGTATCTTATTGAAATAAATACACACTCAATAACAAAAGAAACATGTTCAAGCTCAGAAGTTTAGTTCTAAATGAATGTGAAGACAGGTCAGATTTCATTATCAGTTGCAAGATGAGGAAACAAATAAATCTTCTATTTTCTGCTTTGACTGTGTGTGTGATGTTGAATACTATACATACATCAGAGAGATCATCCCTGATGAAGACAGCTTCTGAGCAGTCAACAATGGGAACCTGGGCCACAAAGGTAGAAATCATCTGGAAGGTGACAAGGCACTTCTTGAAGTCATTGGGGTCGATTCCTGGAAGAGCGAGGTTCAGAAGAGGGAGGACGTGAGAACGGCCCTCAGGGTACCACCTCCTGGCGCTCAGCATTGGGCGGGACACCGCCACCACACAGTTCATACAGGCGATCAGGCGGTGGGGCTCTATCAGATTCTCCATGGCTGGGTACATCCTATCAGTGGACAGAAAAGCATTTTCTATTTTAACAATTCAAAAGAAAATTTGCCAAACCAATAATATCCAAAACAATCATGCATTAGTTAATCAATAAATTTATGGTTCTCTGCTTTTTAAATTATATACTTTGAATTCTTGGGCTATCTAAGAAATCAGTGAACCACATTTTAAATATGAATCTGGCATGGAAAATAAAAAATATGTCCATTTTCATCAGGTAGTGCTAATAAGTAATTTAAATCTTGGATAAAACGACTTCAACATTAATGTACACATAAAGATGAAAAATGTAATATGACGTCATACTTCTCTAATAAATCTGGAATGATAAGCTCAGGCCTCATGTTGGAGAGGTGTCTCAGTGCCACAGCTGAATCGTGACTGCCGTATTTACTGAACATCGATACGGACACCACGGGCTGCATGCTCTTAACAAATCTGGTGATCTCGGAATCCTTCAGCTTATGGTCCGCGGGAATCTCTGTTAGCCACTCCTTCTTCTTGTATCTTTCTCTGAATAAATATTGTAAAGATATTGTAAACTGGGATGGTTTCACATTGTTGTATTTTTATCCAATTTAAAATTAATTCCTATCACTATACTCTTTTGCAGAGCTATGTGCCCTTTATTAAATAATGATTGAAATATGGGCTAAAAGAAAACTTGTCGGGAAAAAAAAATCTTGGAATTAGTATACTTTTCAGAAAAGATACCTGTGTATTCTCTTTACCACCAGTTTTGGAAAATTCATTAAAAGACCACTCAGCTTTATCTGAAAAATGAACAAATTTTTATTAGAAGGACACTTTTCCCCACTTTTATAGAAAATAGATCTTTAACTTTCTGCAGGATGAACTTACGTTCCACTTTCCAAGATTTGATGGATGAAAAAATGACTGCAGAGCCTTGAAGAAGCTGTCAATGTGATCCTGAACTAAACTACCACTGGGTCCACCCTGCAATGAACAGTCATACAATTATTCAAAATACTCTCCTTCTAAAGAGGAAAGGGAGACAAATTCTGAATTATTGGGGGAAAACCTTACCATCATGGACACTATCCAGGTCACAGTGGCACCAATGTCATACGTATTGTTGGAGCGGCCTACTTGTACTTTCTGCATACCCACTGGCAGATTGAAACTCCTCATGAAACGATTAAAAACCTAGAAACAAATATTAGATATTGTACAATCTTATTGATTTCCAAAAATAGACAGAAAGTAATCGTTATGTTATGATAGGATTCTAAAAAGCTAAAAAGCTTACCATGGAAACATGTGGGGACCAGTCAATATAGCCGATGGTGTCATGTGCCAATCGTGCAAACAACCTTACCAAACCCTAGAACAGAATGTTCACCATAATTTTAAAAATTGTACAACAGAAAACTTTTTTGTATTGCAATCAGATTTTTTTATTTCAGAGGGAAAGACCTATGCTTTCTATTTAGAGGAATTTTCCAGTACATTGAGTATATCAAGCCTAACAAAATACCAGTCCAAATACTGAATTTCAAGGAAACTCACTGTCAAGTGTTATTCACTTTTGGAAAATAACTGTATTCAGGAAAATTTTTGCCCCTTTACCAATTCAGTAGTGGGCAAATTTAAAACAGCGAGAATACAGGGAAGATTTCATAATCTTTTAAACACAACTGTCTCTGGGCACATTCAAAATGGGGCAAACTTGCTGGCAAGGGAGAAAGACTCAGAGAGGGCAGAAATAATTCTGTATTTCTCCTAAATTTAATCTATGTACAGTACTTCTCCTTAAGGTAAGCAATAACTTACTGCCTCCCATGTTGGTGCATTCTGGTAGGAGTGCCACATGTTTAGAAACTCGTCCAGCCACAACCTGCAAGTAAGTTTACATGTAGAGCTGGCATCTTTTAAATTCATCTTAACTTTATCTAAAGAAAAATTTCATTATGTCTACATTAAAAATTTAATTACATGTATGTCTACAATAGATCAAAAGTCAAGGGTCATACAAATGACAGTTTTCCATAATGAAGATCAGTTTATCTTACCATTTTTATTCATATTTTATTCCCAACCTTTTTAGATTAATTTGGGAAATTTTCCTATCTTCCTGAGATTTGAGAGTATATTTGAAGAAAAAAAGGGACTTTGTCATGTTTTAATTCACAGAGGTGTAACGTGATTTTCATTTGCTCTGTTTAATTAGACATAAAAAGATTTAAAATGTGCATTGCTTTTTTCCAAAAGCTTTCAATGCTGACATTAAGGTTTTAGAAATCTTATTTACATGTATCATATGATACTATTACACAGGAACATTTATTTACATTGTTATTTACATAGTGAAAGCATTCCGGTTGTATACAAGGTGATTCAACTCACTTGAATCCTTTATCATGGTTTTCAGGAAGTAGATCGGTTGGCAAGAAATATTCGAAGTAGTGAATGGCCTTAATATTGGTCACGTCAAATGGACAGAGCAGCGGTCGCCATTCATCCAGCATTTCCTGAGTGGCTGAGAGTGGGAAATAGCTAAAAATAAACCAGGGTGTTAATTCATAATAGATGTACCTATAGATTATTTCTACATGTATACAATTTTAATCACATAAATTGGAATAACTGCCATCCATCAATCATTAATTTTCAAATTACCAATAGAAATCATGGAACATATGAACTCTTAGCAAAAAGTTTAGTACCGTGTAATAGCCTCATGATCCTTAATTTTTCTTGTTTAAGTAAAATTAATAATTCTTTTAATGAGCAAACATTTTTTTTAACACTCTACTAAAAAAATTCAGAAATAATTTTGTTAATGAATAATGAAAAATAATGGCTTAAACAAATTTTGATGATTTAATAATATCCAGTGTTGGATTTTAATGAAGGTAAACTTACGTCCTACAGTAGTTAACAAGGTTCTTCAAATCGTGCTCCATATTGCTAAAAGAACAAGAGGCCCACGGGCCTTATAGGTCACCTGAGTATTGTGCAACAACTTTCAAACAATTAAATTTGGTTCATGTTTTAAACAAGAGGCCATGGAATTCACAATTTTGAAAGAGGTACCATTGCTTATAATAATTATAGACTTAGCATGCTTACTCTATTTACTTAATACCCAGAGGTAGATCAGAGTAACATTAAGAGAAAATGCACTTCCACTTTATAACCAGTTGTACACCTCATCCCAAAGGAACCACTGATCCTGGGGCCACATATTTCAAAATTTTGCAAATTTTATGATAAAATGGTTGATTAACACCAAAGAGCAAATTTCAAAGCATTAATTTATTTTCAGACTTTCTACCCCCCCCCCTTCACCCCCACCCAGGGAAGGGGCGGGGGGCATAAAAAATAACCATTTTGCTAGGTGCATTTTTCTTCATCATGAATATATATATTTGGATCATTGGCATAAAACACAGGAGCAAAGGAAAGAATTTCAAAGAATAAATGCATTTTCACTATATAACCAATAGAGCCCCGCCCTAACACCGGAACCCCTGACCCTGGGGTAATAAAATTCACAATTTTGGATGAGGCACTCTTGATCAACATAACTATTTAATTACATAGTTTATTTAATACCCAGAAGCAGAGAAGAAGATTTCCAAAGAATAAATGCATTTTCACTATATAATCAATAGGGCCCCGCCCTAACACCTAAACCCCTAACCCTGGGGTCACAAAATTCACAATTTTGAAAGAGGCACTCTTGCTCATCATAACTATGTGCTTGGTTAGTTTATTTAATACCTAGGAGCAGAGAAGAAGATTTCCAAAGAATAAATGCATTTTCACTATATAATCAATAGGGCCCCACCCTAACACCTAAACCCCTGACCCTGGGACCTCCGACCATAAAATTCACAATTTTGGAAGAGGTACTCTTGCTCATCATAGCTATGTACTTAGTTAGTTTATTTAATACCCAGAAGTAGTCAAAGAATAAATGCATTTTCACTATATAACCAATAGAGCCCCGCCCTAACACCTAAACCCCTGACCCTGGGGCCATAAAATTCACAATTTTGGAAGAGGCACTCTTGTTCATCATAACTATGTGCTTAGTTAGTTTATTTAATACCCAGAAGTAGAGAAGAAGATTTTCAAAGAATAAATGCATTTTCACTATATGACCAATAGAGCCCCGCCCTAACACCAGAACCCCTGACCCTGGGGTCATAAAATTCACAATTTTGGAAGAGGCACTCTTGCTCATCATAACTATGTGCTTGGTTAGTTTATTTAATACCCAGGAGCAGAGAAGAAGATTTTCAAAGAATAAATGCATTTTCACTATATAATCTATATAGCCCCGCCCTAACACTAGAACCCCTGACCCTGGGGCCATGAATTTCACAATTTAAGTAGAGGACTCAATGCTCATTACATTCATGCCAACAGTTTGCCTGCTTGATGTCCAGGAGTAAAGAAGAAGATTTTTAAAGATTGCACTAATTTTAGTGGTTTTTGCCCCACCCCCCAGGCCCCAGGGGGGCAGGGACCATGAAATTCACAATTTTTGTTCCCCTTCACCCATAGATGCTGTATACCAAATTTGGTTGAAATTGGTTTAGTGGTTTCAGAGAAGAAGCTGAAAATGTTCAAATGTTAACACACGACGCACGACGCACGACGCACGACACACGACACACGACGACGGACGAAAACGGATAGCAATAGGTCACCTGAGTTACTCAGGTGACCTAAAAATTAAAAAAACAGTTCAGTGTGGAAATCATATTGTACATTGATATTTCCTTGTTAAAATTTTCTCATTCATTTATCACTGAAGCAATTGTCTTTCACAGAAAAATATAACTTACTGTGGAAATAACTGCAATCCATGATGTTCATATGGGGAGTAAGCTACATTTTCTACCAGCTGATAAATAGGTTTCCATGGCAATTCTAAATCTTCACGTGTCAACAGTTTTTGTTTCCTGTAAAATATAATTCATTAAACAATATTATTTACAATGTAGCAATATACATATGCATAAACTCGATAATTACTTTATAGTCAAGTGAAAACAGTAATACAAAATCTGCAAGTTATAAAATATACTTTGAAGTTTGTAATCTAAACCCCCCCCCCCCAAAAAAAAAACAAACTTAAAAAACATTCATGTCGGTTCAAAGTACTGCAAAAAGCTTCTCTTTATTCCATATTTGATAAACCATGCAAGACATCCATAAAGGGGGATAATATTTGTAGTTGTGATTCAATGTTGTTTAAACATTGCATCATCTTTAAACTCACTTCAACAAGGCAACAAGCTGGGTTGCAAACTTAGGAACCAATGAAAGCTCGAGGTCAGGAATGGTTGTCAATTCAAACAACAGCTTGATGAACAGAATATGATCCTCCTTGGAGAATTTCATTCCATACAAACGGATGTATCTGAAACAAGTAAAATTTACAATATTAGACATGGACCAACACCTTATGATATTAAATAAAGGGCATTCCACTTGTGATAAAAAAAATTAGAGCACATATGTTGCAAAGCTGTTAAAACACCGATTGCACAGAGCATCCACTTAATCATTGATTACTTCGGCTTGAACTAGATAGATGTTAAACGTTTACATGTATGATGAAACATTTAAAGCAACTACTGTTGTTTTGCTGGTTAAGTTCGTTTGTCAATAATGACCTAATTAGGAAGAATAATCTAACTGATTCTCAGTTACAGTTGCTGAATTGGAACCAATGTAGTTGCAATGTAGCAAATTGAAATGGATCCACTCCAAAAAGTTTTGAAGAAACCATAACAACTGCCTTAAAGAGCAAGTTTGGATTATTGTTAGACTGAAATAAGTTTTGAAGAAACTCCAAAGAAAAAAAATTCAAGCATTTATCTTAGAAGAATCATTACTTGATAGAATCGAGTCAGTCATGGCCGAGAAATTATAATGAAAACAAAGGTTTAAGCGAGGATGGGTTCAAATTGACATCCTCCCATGTGTTTTTATGGTATAACATATATAATTTAAAATATATAATGATTGATTTAAACGCAGAAGCAGGCCCCTGTGGTCTGTAGAACAATATCATTTTACCTATAGTTCAGTATGTTCTTTCAAAAGACCAGCATAGTTTTGCATACGCTGACTACTGAAGTGGGTTCTATTTGTTAAATGCCTTTAAAAAAAGATTTGTACCCTTCATGGTGCTTGAATAGCTAAACAATTTTCTTAATTTCTTCAATTATAAAAAAAATTATCTCTAAATCTTGTAGCAAACAGGATGAACCAAACACTATTTTTACTGTCATTCGTCATTGCATCAAATGTCAAACTGCACTGACTACTATCATTTTCGTTCACTTTACAACTTTGATACTACCTGGTCAGCTGTCCAACCCAAAAAGTAGCTCCTACTTTCACGTCTCTCAGCAGAACGGCCTTTGCCAGATTTCCTTTGATTTCTGCTAAGGCTGCATTAGATTCATCGTCTATATTCTCTGCATACGGTAAAAACTTATTGTAGATTTTATCCTTTTGAGGCTTGAAGCCTAAGGCCTCCTCTCTGGTCTCCATCTTATGAAATAATCCCAAATTTGCTAATTCAACATGACATTGCTCTACGAAAGTCTCTATATTCTATGTCACGTACAAAAATTGTTTCGCTAATCTTGATTGGTCAATAACCATTTTTCGACCAATCAACGAATCCCTTTTATTTTTCATTCGGAAGAGCAATCGGATTTTGTTCGGCAACATTCGACAGCTTTCGGAACCAAGGGCAGAGAACCAGCATTGACATCAACTTTCACTTTGACAACGGTTTGTTTTCTGCTAGGAAAATGGCTTTCCAGAGGTCAATTTCCGTTGATTTTGAATTATGTGGAAATGTTCAAGGTTTGATATTTTTTGTATAATCCAACAATTCATCAAATAGTAAAAAAAAAAAAAAAAAAAAAAAGAGATGCAGAAAAAGTTGGATTTTTTTTTTTATTTTTCTCTCTTTTCTTGGAACAAAATGTGATTTTTTTATTTGCATTTTTTGTTTGTTTTATATGTATATTTACATCTTTTTCTATTTTATTTTACTTTTTTTCTAGGTGTTGCAATGAAACCTGTAAGTAAAATATGATTTATAGAATAAGTGAATATTTTTGCTGGAAGTGTAAGATGTGTAAGATATTCTACTGATTGAAACTTGTATTTAGTAAAGATGGTCTCTTCAAATGAAAAAATTATATTCTTGATAGAAAATTTTAATTGATTTATTATACAGAGTTCAAAACATAAAGAAACCAGAATAAAAGTTAAAAATTTTCGTTTGATTTCTTCTTTAACATTATAAAATCCATGTTAACTCCATTTTCTCTCATACCCATGTTCATGCACATTCTAATGCCTTCTTAATTGTATGATTGCACATTTTATTATTTGACAGTACACCTATGCAGCAGCTAACAAACTGGGAGTGGTTGGGAACATGATGAATACAGAGAAGGGGACCATCAGAGGAACACTACAGGGGAACAGGGGTCAAGTGGAGAGCATGTCAGTATTCATTTCACTTATACCATTATTACATCTACCATAATTACATTAACCATTATTACATTACCGTTATTACACTTAGTACTATTATTACACCTACCATAAATTAATTACGTTAACCATTATTACATGTGGTCTACATATACCATGATTACTTACCTACTTATGCCTGCTACCCCTTTTGGGGCATAGGCTGCCATTCTTTTGACGTCTGCCTCCAAACCTCTCCATCAGGTGTTCTTTGGCCTCCCTCTCTTACGTTTTCCTTGGGGGTTCCAGGATAGGGTTTGCCTTGTGATGTTTTTATGTGGCTTGTGTAGAGTATGCCGTATCCACCTCCACCTTCTCTGCATTATTTCTGCTTTTATAGGGGCTTGGTTTGTTCTTAATTGGCACAGATTGGTGTTTCTTATTTATTATAATTATTTTGTCGGGCCATCTAACCTGGAAGATGCGTCTCAGACAAGAGTTGACAAATGTCTGTATTCTGTTTATTGTGGCAACAGTCATCCTCTATGTCTCGGAACCAAAGAGAAGCACAGCCTTGACATTTCTGTTAAAAAGCCTAACTTTGGTGCATGTTGTTATTCCATTGGTCTTCCAGATGTTTCCAAGTTGCAAGAATGCTACTCTGGTCTTTCCTTTTCTTGCTTTGATGTCAGCTTCTGTTCCAATATCATGATTACATTTACCATTATAATTACACTTATCAATTATTACATTTATTGTTTTAAAATTTACCCAGGGTCTTCCCTGACAATTGGATAGTGGGAGTGCAGCATAAAAAAGTAGAAAGGAGTCTGGGGTTCATCTTCTAACAGGGGGAATTGTTTAATTCGTTGCTTAACTCGTTGAAGGAGAATACGAGAATAAATTAGGGGATATTACATCATTATAGCCAGGGAAATTACCCCTGCCCACGGGTGTAAGGGACAACCCTGCTGACCATAATAACACATACCATTATAACATTTACCATTACATGTATTACAATGTACATTATACAATTATTTAATGCCTGAGCAGTCAATAGACCAGAATATTTTTCCCGAGATGCAGGGAACAGCTCAGTGTGTTCTATTGCCCGAGGCCAGCGGCCGAGGGCAATAGAACACACTGAGCTGTTCCCTGCACCGAGGGAAAAATTTTCCTGGTCTATTGACTGCTCACTAGGCATTAAATAATTGTTTTATTACCTAATCTTATTTTCCGTATTATAAGTGTTCACAATTGTATATTCAGAACAGAAGGTTCCCGTACCATATTGTAAAATGTATACCTAGATATGGTGCATCTGTAATATTAATTAAAGATTGATTGTATAGATATTGTTTACATTCCTCTCGAAAATTTTTCGCTCTTATGGAGACACCACCATTTCCAGGTGGAGAGGGACCTTTTTCGTGCCAGCAGAGAACCTACTGATACACGGGATCTCGGTTTATAGGTCTCACCGAAGGATCAGTCTCAACGTCGGTGTATTAATTAAAGTAACTCTGATTAAATAAAATACCCGAACATTGAAATCATACAATTTTTAAAACCAATGTCGAAAGATGTTTACCATGTCTGTGCATTGTTACAAACAACTAAATTCAAAACCCGGATCGCTTTTTTTTTCGAAATGCGCTACCGGTCAATAGAACGCGCAGTCTATTGACCGGTCAATAGAACGCACTTCTATTGACCGGTCAATAGATCGGTTTGAAAAGAGAAGAAGAAAAACTGAAAACACATACAGAATAGTATACAATTATTTAATGCCTGATCAGTCAAATAGACCAGAAAAATTCCGAGGTGCAAGGGAACAGCTCAGAGTGTTCTTTTGCCCAAGGCCAGCGGCCGAGGGCAATAGAACACCCTTGAGCTAAATGTTGAAACTTAAGGAATTCGTTTTATTTAGTCGAAATACGATTATAAATGTTCACTTGAACTTGATAGTAAATTACCTGTAAAATTCGATTGAAAACGTGAAATTACTTTATTTACATATACTTCCGATCTCTATAAAAATAAAACGTCGATGGTCGGAACTGAAAATTCCGGATTTTGTTGACTTTCTATCTCTCGAACCCTTCGATCTCTCGAACTTTTATCGCGGTCCCTTGAACTTTGAGAGATCGAGAGTCACCTGTAACTCTTTTTGTAACAATTTATATCATATCAAACCCGAACTGGTATTCACAAAATAATACCGCGATACGTATTGTGAAGAACGAAATTGGGATACACCGGTTAACCGTTAATATCGCACAGCACTAGTGATTTACAATGTACATTGTAGGTTTTTAGTCACATTGCTGTGGTGGAATCAGTTTTTGTGGAGAGCCGATTTTTGGGAAAAAAAACTTACGCATTGATAAATAAATTTGTGGATAGCTACATATACCTTGTCAAAGTCTAATGTACATGTAGTTAGTTGATCTGATTTCTTGGGTCTGGCCCAAACTTGAAACATTAAACTGAAGTTTAGCGAGAAATGGTGCAATCACAGTCTGTTTAATGGCTATTGATATTTAAGAATTGAAACAGAAGAATCTATGACCCAGTGATTTCAGCTCATTGATTATTGTTTTGTTGACAGGTGAGGAAGAAGGGACAGGCAGTGCTCATGCAGTGTTTTCTAAACTTTCCTACTGTTACCGGTGCCTGCTGGACAGGATCTCAGACAAGCCTCTCATACAAAGACACGCCCGAAAAACAGTTCAAGGTAAGTCATGCCCAAAAAAGCAGGTCAAAGTAAGACATGCCCAAAAAGTATGAATGATCTTTGAGAATACCACTCATTAGGTTTATTATTGACTTGTATGGAAACAGGTCTTATCAATCTTTTAGATAAGGAGGGGAAGCCAAGTCTTGTTTGAAATTGGTCAACCCAATTTCTTTTGACAAAAATTATATCGGTAATAATTTCAACAGTCAGGAGGAATACATGTATATTGTTTGTGTACAGTAAATGGAGAGTACCTTAACATTGTAGGGAGTGTTGTATGTGGTCCTTGGAAGTGGTAAGAGATGCCTGGCCACCAAGAGAAGCTGGGAGGTGATTGGTCAGTTATGGCCAGCCATTGTCCAGGCCCAGCAATCAGAGAAGCCATCAATTTTACGGGTCGTTGACGACATCATAGCTAAAGTCAGCAAGAATCTGGAAAGTCCAGGAATTGAAATCAAAGTATGTTTATTTAGCATACTTTTCTGTGCATGGATATCTGTACTAACTTCTCTGCATCTTCTTATAGTTAATGCAGAGTATCCGTGTATTTTTACGTGATAGGTATCATGCATATATCCATGTAGAATTTATGATGTGAGGATGCCCCCACTTTTCCCTTTTGATAGATAGGATTATTACATTTTATACTAAATACGTATGATTTATCTCTTAAGGTAACCTCCAGCTGTTTGGAAGCTGCCCAGAAGTTACTGTCCTCTGGTGTTCCTGTATCTAATCCTAACACACTGACTGAGGGGGCCGACCGGTGGGGGGAGGAGTTCCAGAACGAGTGCAATGAGTCCAACAACAGGTTTGTCTGAATCTAATGGCTCACTTATTAAATTTTTTTATAATTGATTGGAAGAATTTGCTTATTTGATTTGATTTTTTTATTTGGCAGGATGTATGTAAAAATCGTGGAAGACCTTGTGGCATTAGTGAAAGGTGGAACATTGTAAGTACTTGCATTTGTGATTTCAAAAGTTAGTGTTAGTTTTGTTTAAAAATTTAGATGGGTGTATTCCACATTTTCAATATTTTTTTTTCTTGATAAACATCAGCTAACGAATAAAATCTAACATGTTTTACCATTTGTATGACCTAGGATGTGGAAGTTCAGTCAGTACGCTGTAGAACTGTTAACACTATTACTGAGACATGATGTACCCACGCCCCCTGTAGCCGTGGAACTCTTTGTCTCCAACCTCATACATGACTCCTTATACATCAGAAAGGTACAATGATATACAAATATTTTGTTTAATTGAATTAGTTTTCATGAAGTAACAAGGGAAGGCTTTGTTGGGTTTTACATGTAATTCCATAGGCCATACTTCCTCATGATAGATAAATTCTATAATCAGTATTTGTTGAGTTTGTATATTCATGGATTAGGGACACTAAACTATCAAGCATTTGATCTCCATAGAATATAATGATTAATACAAAGAAAAGACTAAAAAATTCAGATACAAGGTCACTATCAGAGTTTCCTCCCTTGAAGACTGCAGTTTCCTACACAATATTAGTCTTATTTTATCTTCAGCTGTCAACAGCCTCTGTATCAGCCATTCTGAAGCAACAGAAGAGAAAACACAAGAAGGTGGTGGTGGACCCCTACCGTAGTGCCCCACCCCCTCCAGCGGGTACCTTCCTCCCCGGGAATCGTCCGGATAACGACTGGATCATGTACGACTCAGGCCGACTTCCAGACAATCAGGAGAAATGGGAGGCCATGGAATTTGTGGATAAAACTCACTGGGGATACTACTGCTGGCCAAGGTATGTCATTACTTTATTCTCAGCATGAAAATTTTTATTCAGTTGCTAATTAATAATTGATCATGATCATTAAATTACTTCTGTTTTGAATTCCAACATTAATTATATTGTGTTCTAATCTCCATCCAAAGGAAGAAAATAGCTAAAATAATCAAATTTTGGTTTCCATCAATTCATTTTTTGAATTCCAGAGAATTAACTGTAGTAACAATCTGTTAATATGATTTTGACATTTGAATATTAATAATTAGACGAAATTGATTAGGACTGTTAACTTTGAATCTGTTGCAGAGAAATGAAAATTTATGCCCAGTATTCAGAGCAGCCAAAACTAGATCGTCTAGAATCAGAACTGTTAGATATAGAAAAACCTATTTATGTGAAACTGAGTGACTCTGAGTTTGTGAAAAAGTTTATAGCAGTGCTTAGTTTAGAAGAGCACAAAGGACGAGATAAATTCAGGAACAAACATTTAACTCTATTCAAGGTAAGTTTAAAGGTTCTGTTTCTGATCCTTTTGGGGTTTTAAAAGCTGGAAAGTTACATCCATTAATCACATATCTGTTTATGTACATGCGATGGAGAAGAAAATAACGAAATGATAAATGTTTAAAAATATGAACAAGCTGTATAACATGCAAGCTTCCAAAGATGGCTGTATTGTTGAATTTTCAATTCAAATAATTCTTTGTATCCTTTAAATTCCATTTTGTGTTTCAGGGTCTGTTTAGGAACTACGGTGACACGTTCCTCCCCCACTTCAGACACCACATCGTGGAGCTACTGTCCGACAGGACCCACGAGCACCACGAAAGTAAACAGAGGTGTGGCATGGAGATCTTAGCTGGGGTCATACGCGGCTCCAAACACTGGCCATATGACAAGGTAGAACATTCAGTCCTCTTTCAAGTCAGAAATTATGTGTAATGATAAAACATGTATATGGCATAAATTATCAGAGAGTGTAGAAAAATTTGAATAATTTAAATACTATGTACTTGTACATGCTTGTACAGGTACCATAACCTTATGCAGTAGACTATACACTGTATGTGCTTAAACAAACTTTAGTATGGAATTAATTTGCATGTAAAATTTCTGTTTCTTGAAATTTTCTTATAGGTGAATGCCCTTTGGGACTGGGTGATCCCCATTCTGAGAACCTCCCTAGATAACATTACCAGTGAGACACTTAAGGACTGGGGGACGTTCTTCACCGTCGTGTCCGAGAGTCGAGATCCCAGAAGATTGTATCGATTCTTTGAGATGCTCATGGATAAACCTATCAGGGAGGGATCTTCTTCTTTTGAGGACTCCAGGTAATACTACTGATGGAGAAATGTTAGAAGTACACAAGTGGTTTAAAAAATTCTAGGGGGAATTCATTTGATGATAATTCAGTTAACTTTAACACAAGATTTGCAGACTTATTGAGTGATAAAATGTCCATAAATGATTCTCAAAGTGATTCACCCCACCCCCAACTGAAAAAAACCTAGAATGATGTATCCGAAACTAAGAGACTGATTTCCTTTCATATTTTGTAGCCGTCTTTTTGCTGTACAGAATGCTTTAGTACAACAGGAATGGAGGGTACCAGAACTCCTCCATCGTCTGTTAGAGTTTCTGACACCCTACCTCTCCCACAGGTACAAGAACGTCAGGGACAGGATTGGAAGGTATGCTCCTGATATAGTGTGATTTAAATGTATAACCCAGAAAGTTGATTAATCAGATAAATGTCCATGGAAGCAGTGATGTCTGATTAGTGGATTATACAAGTTTAACTCTGTTCCTTTACCCCTTAATGACGACTTTTGACACCTAGCCCCCAACCCATAATGACGACTTTTGACACATGTGTATTTCTTTGTTGATTTGACTTGAAATTACCGCTTGTTTACAAATTATCAGAGCACAGGTGGCCACCTACAGGTTAACAATAGAAGATTGCATCATACTACAGTTAGAAATCATGTGATTTACCTGTGTAAACGAACAAAAGAATCTTGGAAAGTCCCACCGAAATTCAAAATGGCGGACTGTTACATACAATGTTTTTTGAGCATATAACTCAGTCAGTACGGAATATTTTCTCATTCAGTAAAGCATTACATGAAATTCAAGCTATAAACTACCTATTTCTTGAAAGGTTTGAAAATTATGATGATCTATATGTGTAATATACTCCAACATAAGATACGAAAATTTTGTGAAATTCGGGACCGCGCAGTGTCCATTTCGCTACCTGTTTCTCACAAATTCAGAAGATATCTTCCAATTTACACATTTTTTTAAATGTAAAGGTGTAGAAAATAATTATTTTAATAGAATTGGATCATTAAAGTATCCAAAAACGTTCAGAAATCAGTTTTAGCAGGCAAGTCTGAAAAATTGTCGACGAGATTGACATTGAAGTAGCACTACATGTACAATTTATTGATTTCTGAGGAATTAAAACTTATAAATTGATAACAAATAATAATTTAATCATTAATTATATTATCACACATATTTTTTATTATTTTTACAGTCAGTTTTGGCTTTTTAAGGTAGTCCGATCCTCAGGTTTACAAAATTAGCAGTTAAGTAAACAAAAATACTCATAAAAGTATCTCTGAATCCACAAAGTTATCTCAATTTATCCACAGTATTTCTTTAAAGTTTAAGATTAAAGTTGGTCATATTATATAGGGAAAATCGTCAAATCTCCGAGATTTTTGCAAAAAAGGCGAATTTGAATAGTAGCTATGCATTTTCTAATTGCAAATTGATCAACAAATATATTTATGTTAAAAAACGATAGGTATCCATGCATTCAAAGAAATTGTTATGATTTTTACACTTACTTGGTATTTTTTGTCTTCTATTTCCGTCATATATTCTATATTACTTAGAGTAAAAGGCATTTGCTATCATTTCAAGACGCCACAAATCACTTCTTATTCAATATCATGCTAATAAGCATGGGTATCTAAGTCATGGTTGAAGAAAATCTTATTTCTCTAAAACTGTAATATTTTTTTTCTTTTTATAGGGTACACATGTCAACTTTTATAAGACCTTTTCTAAGACTTCCAAAAACCTTGAATCTTATAAAGATGAATAGAATGAAAATTGTTGCATGAAAAAATTTCATTTTCAAGCTTCATTTTGATGCATTTCAAATTAAATATTAATTTTTGGAGTTATCCTTCCTGACTGAGGATCGGATATCCTTGAAGCCGTTTTACACGTTGAAAATATCTATTTTGCAATTTACACCTGCTTCCACCTGAATTATTTTTTTACAGAAAATTCCGATCGAAATTATGTAAATAGATTTGAAAAATTTAATTTATTATGAATCCAATGATATATAATACATAGCATAAATGAAATATTTTAACCCTTATTAGTTCAGTTTTAAACTGCACTCTAATTCATTTTAAATGCTCTAAGGGGCAGCCAGGCAAACACTCTAAGGATATGGCCAGTGCATCAAATCGTGGCATTAAGGGGTAAAGAGTTAATTGTACATCATTTTTCAATTTCTATGTGAAATTTTTGATGGAACACTTTTTAGAGTTAATATTCCGTTTCAGCCTTCTGTCCAACATCATGTTGTATGACTACAGCATCACGGCAGGTTCCTCCACTAAATCTCCACACAGAGTGGACTTTGTCCAGAAAGTGATTCCACGACTGGAACCACTCAAAGACCTGGTGCTATCAGACAATGGAAACAATGGCAGCTCAAAGGGTAGGTTCTGATTCTGATTTCATAAAGATTGGACTTGTAATGGTCTGAAAAACTGTAATCATATATTGCATTTATTACTTTATATGCCCCGGAATCGAAAGATTCTGGGGGTATATGCCTTGGGATCAAAAGATCCCGAGGGTATATTGGTTTTGTCCTGTTTGTCTGTTTTTCTGTCTGTCTGTTGTCAACTTTAACCCAGCCCATAACAATTGAGTGGATGGGGCTATGGCTTTCATATTTCACAGATGTATTCCTTGTGACATGATCTTTCTTCGGGTACCACCAAATTTGACTTTTTGACTTTGACCTAAGAGTTTTACAAAAAAATACCACACTTTAACCTTGACCATAACTTTTGAACAGTTTGAGCTAGGGCTTTCATACTTCATGTGTATTTATTGTAACAAGACCTTTCTGATGGAATAAATATTTTTGACCTTGAACTAAGAATTTGACCCACTTTTTGAAATCTTTAACTTTAATCATAACTTTTGAACAGTTAGATCAAGCTTTCATTTTTCACAAGTGTATTCCTTGCAACAAGACCTTCCTTTGGGTACCAACATTTTTTACCTTGACCTTTGGAGTTTGACATGCATTTGAGAGAATTCAACCCTAGCCATAAGCGGTCATACGGGGGCATCAGTAAACACTCACAAACACTTCTAATCTTTATTTTAATGTGCACAAGGAGGTGGTAGAAGTCTTTGAAGATGTAGTATTTGAATTTTTCACAGATGAGGAGAACCACAGAGAGATGTCTTCCTCGTTGGAGAAGATGGAGGTGGAAGATGATGAGGATGAAGAGAGGAAGACAACCATAAGGCTGTGTAAAACAGGTGAGGGGGCTTACACCTGTCTGAATATTCATGTAAATTAAAGCTGACATGAACTCTTAAAAAGGCATCAGTTTTCATCTTTGTACGACTTACTACATTCCTGTACGCCCTTGTCCGACATATTTGTTCGATTCCGCCATATTTAATCGAAGATTTTTGGCCACCTGTACCTGCTATATATAGCCTTGACGAATTGTTTCACTTGAGTGATTTTCTAGTCTGGCTGTCGACATGTACACATCTCCGATAGCATAGTTTTTAAAAGTCCATAAACGACCAATACATGTTTGAAAAGTAAAAATTCAACAAAAATAGAACTATAAAGAATTAAATTATTTTTGAATGCATTTGCTGCAATATAAAAAGTACACTAACACGGAATACATTTATGTACAGCAAAAATCCATGCAGGTCGGAAAATGCGTCAAACGCAGTGATAAAACATTTACCTGAATACTGCTTTCGTTACAGGGATGTGCACATGTCGAAAGAATTATCCTATTTTACTTTTATTGAAAAATGCATCTCAGAAGTCATGTAATCCATTGCTAACTCAAAAGTAAAAGATGCTTGGACACACGTGGCCCATGCCGATCATTTTATTTGGCCAGGGAAAATATCAAAGGTTGAAAGCTGAGTGGGGTTGATTGAATTTTTTTTCAAAAATAAACATTGCTCTTGTTTGTAAATGTAGTAAATAAAAATTATGATTATACATGGTTTAACTTCATTAAATTTATTTGAAAAAAAAAGCATGCATGATTGCAAATCATTCGTACCTTTTGAAGATATTTTCCTGTGATAGGAGGGGGGGGGGTATTAAACATGCATATCAACACTCTCATTAAAATATTTCTGAAAAACGTCTGAAACAGATTAATTATCATGAAATAAATACTGTGTATAGGCTTTAGTAGACCTAATATAATTTGATTTAAAGTTATTTATAATTTTGTGCATAATGAAAGAAAAAAAGAGAGCAAGTTCACATACCCCACGCTCCCCCAAAAGTCGAAGTGCTGAAATTCCCAGAAAAAAATAAATGAATCGTAATTTCCATTACATGTAATATGCTCATCTATACACATTGTGTCCTAAATATCTGCAAAGTTTGACGAAATTGTGTGCAGCGGTTTATGAGGAATTGCGCTGACAAATTGCTCATCTCTATATTCGAGATATGGCCAAAATCTAAATGTAAGAATTCTGAATTTTCTGGTGATGTGCATATCTACACACACATTTTCTCCTATAAATATCTGCAAAGTTCGACAAAACTCTGTGCAGTGTTTTATGAGAAGTTGGGGTAACCCACCTGAAACCAAAAAATGAAAAAAAAAAAAAGACTGACTGACGGGTCAAAAACATTATACCTCACGCAACTTATTGCGAGGGGTATAATAAATGAGTTTGCTTCTGTGGTGCAATGATAATGAAAATAAAATTAAATGTGAATTAAATTTCTAGACATAAATAATTAATGATTATTAGAAAAAGCATATAAGAAGAGAGAGCAAACTCCCCATTCCACATTCTACCTACAATTAGCTTTTTACAAATTCTCTTTTTTTGTCTGTTGTCCAGGTCCAGGTTCGACACGTACGTTTGAGAAGGAATTTGAGAAAGTTCCCAATGTTCCCATTCCTGTGATGTATATTTCACGTTTATTATATTCCCGGCTTGAAAAGTGGGAGGGTATATAGTAACCGTTATGTCCGTCCGTCTGTCCGTGCGTCTGTCTCATACGCGTTGGGGTACCAATCTCTTATCCGCAAATCATCTTGTACCACTTGGTGAATTTTAATGAAACTTTCACAGAATCTTAGGTTTATTACATATTACCATTGTGCAAATCTTATTTTACTTTTCAGGGGTGAAGCAACGGGGGTGGGGGGGGGGGGGGGAGCCCCCCCACTTTTTTCCGCCACCTAACTTATACTATAGGAAATGTTAATTGAAGGTGTGGTTTTGTTTTGTTTTGTTTTGTTCTTTTTTTTTTGCTTGTCAACTTTTTCAGGTAATGAAAAAAAAATCTCTGCCTGGCCAACACTTTAAATTACGGTGCTACGTGCCTGCTTTTTGATTCGACACATATTTTGGGTTTAGCGACAACAGCAAAATATGGACTTTGCCATTATAATCATATGGGAGGCGGGGTATCATTTAGTGAGCTCATTGCTTACAATACCTCTAGTTTCTATTTCAATTTGGGCGTGTGGGTTAATTTCTTGTCCAAATTAAAATTATTATTCAATTTATGTTTCGACATCCCGCCTGAGAAAAATTTTTGATCAGTTCTAAGGCTTAATAAATGGTACATCACAAAGTGCGTAGGATCTTATACCTATTATTGCCCTAACGGATAGGAGAGGGAAAAGAGAGAGAGAGAGAGTTCAATATACAAAAGAATTAATAAAAATTATCCGTATTCAACCAGTGTCAAGTATCCCTACCCCAGCTCTTAAAATTATTTCTCAAATACTTCTAAAGAAATTATTTTTATACGAAAAAAAAGCTAGACTCTCAAGCAGGAATACTGAAATCTCGAAAGACTCACTGTAACAACATAATACAGTTACATCCCTCAAAATGCATATACTTTGTGGTCGGAGTGACCCATTTAAAAAAATCTCAAAATTGAATTCGGCAGAAATGTCAGTCTTCCAAGAATATTTAAATAACGGTCATGTCAATTATTTTTGCATGCCCCCCCACCCGCGCCTAAAAAAACCAAATGCCTAAATGTGAAATTGAACAGGGGATGGCCTTTCTCCGTGTGTGTTAAAGAACGTTTAGATGTACACATAAAAATTACTTGGTTTCGATTGGAGATTAGTACTAAAACAATCAGTTATAATTGACAAATGAATTTTGCGATGCAAACCAACTGCAGACTATATACATGACTTTGTATAGAATGTTAGAACTACATGTAGATAGACAATTCACAATTATAGCTTATGAACAGCAGTTATAATACTTTAACCCCCCCCCCCCTTTTCAGCCGCGCAAATACCTTCTCTTTCCACTTGTGATATTTTCCCTGACCAAAATTTGATCAGCACGGACTCAGTGTATCGACTGTACGGAGTAATGACAGTGTGTTTACTATTGAGCTTTTATGGAGTTTATTTCTTTTTTTGTGATGCATATTTCAATAAATGGGATTCAGGGTGTATATCACTTGACTTGTGCATATCTTCTAACCGATGCAGTAACCTATTTCCAGGTATGGATACGTTTACAGCGTTCGAGGCGTTTTCTCGATATGCATCAATTGCATCTTTAGGACCTGCAAATCAAAGACGTAGGTTGTTTTGTTCCATTCAAATGATATAATTTCAAAAGATGTTTGCAGATTTTACTGCTTTTTATTTCAAGTTTATTCTGCATAAATTTGCGCACTGTAAAATACGTACTCTTGCATCTAAATTTCTCTTCCAAACTTGCATTTTTTTTCCTTTTGATTCAAATCAATAATTATTCAGAAATATGATTATTATGTTGTTTGTTGTGCTTTTGAAATGTCTCGAACACCTAATGTGTTCTCATGTTTCTTTACCATCGGAGATGTGCACAAGTCGATACCCAAGCCAAAAAATCAATCAAGTGTAACGACCGCATCGGGGTATATATCGTTACAATGAGACAATGTATCTGAAAGAAATATGGCGGAATACGGCTATAGTTGGTATGAAACAAGTCGTACATAGATGAAAATGTTGTGTTTTTAAGAATTCATGTCAGCTTTAACAAAGATAATGATCTCATTTATAAAACATGAAAAGAAATATGATGGATGGACTTATTCATCATTTTTTGTTGCAGTGCTGAAGTGGATATCTGATGGACTAGGTAGAATGTTTACCTCAACTACACCAGAGCTTTTCCTTTTTCTTCCAGTAGTAAGTATTATTGTGAGGATTGCAGAATATACATTTCGGATCTCTTTTTAAATTCGTTAATATTTTCAAATATATGAACATACATGGACATGTATTTAACCAGAGTGATGAAAAATATTCAGAAAAACTTTTTAGTTTAAAATGATTTTCTGATATTGAGATTCATTTGATATTTCCCCCAGATCTGCACGTTAGAGAGTGAGACTAAAGATGAGGAACTGAAGACTGACTGTTCTATGGCCCTGGCATGCTTCTCTCAGGCTCTGATTCAGGAGAACAATGTCACAGTGTGTCTGGAGACCATCAGAGAGGTGGGTACAACAGAAACAGGGTTAAAACTAGATATGAATCTGAAATTATCCTGTCCAATGGATATGATCTAAAACACAGTTATTATACCCCCTGCAAATGAAGTTTTGGGGGCTATATAGGAATCCCTTGTCCGTCTGTCCGTCCGTCCATCTGTCCGTCTGACTATGCAATCGTGTCCGGTCCATATCTTTCTTACTGAGGGACATTAGAATCTACTACTCCACACAAAGATTGCCCATAACCTAAGGGTGTGTCATGACCTTGACCCAAGGTCATTTTGGGAAGTTCAAGGTCAATGGAAGAAAAATTTCATAATTCGTGTCCGGTCCATATCTTTCTTATGGATAAACTTGGTAGGTTCTCATTTCACACAAAGATTGCCCATGACCCAAGGGTGTGTCGTGACCTTGACCCAAGGTCATTTGGGGAAGTTCAAGGTCACTGGAAGAAAAATTTCATAATTCTTGTCTGGTCCATATCTTTCTTATGGATAAACTTGGTAGGATCTCATTTCACACAAAGATTGCCCATGACCCAAGGGTGTGTCTTGACCTTGACCCAAGGTCATTTGGGGAAGTTCAAGGTCACAGGAAGAAAAATTTCATAATTTGTGTCCGGTCCATATCTTTCTTATGGATAAACTTGGTAGATTCTCATTTCACACAAAGATTGCCCATGACCCAAGGGTGTGTCTTGACCTTGACCTAAGGTCATTTGGGGAACTTCAAGGTCACTGGAAGAAAAAATTCATTATTCGTGTCCGGTTAACATCTTTCTTATGGATGTACTTGGTAGGATCTCATTTCACACAAAGATTGCCCATGACCCAAGGGTGTGTCATGACCTTGACTCAAGGTCATTTGGGGAACTTCAAGGTCACTGGGAGAAAAATTTCATAATTCATATGTGATACATATCTTTATTATGGAAAAACTTACTTCTGAAAAGCCAAGCCCAGCGGGGGGTTATAATTTTGTCCCATTTGGACAGTTCTAGTTATTGTAGGAACTTCTCAGTACCAAAAGATGTAGAATCCAAATTTTAAGTTCCTGGTATAAAGTTATTAGACTCTCGCCATGGTTAGAAGTTATATTGTTGAAGAATTTGATAAAGTGGCTAGGATCTGAAGGGTCATACTGATTAGAATAATGGAAGCTTTATTCCTAAACATTTCCTTGATTTCTATAGGTGATGGGACTGAAGTCCTGGCATTCCCGTGTACTGATCCTCGGCTACATCCAGGTCATGGTGTTCTGTAACCTCTTTACCATGATCCAGACAAAGTACAAAAAGGAAATCCAGAACTTTATACTCCATCTCATCTGTGATGACCAAGTAGAGGTAGGTTATGTATACAAAAACAAACACAAAAACTGGAGGGGGTCAGAACTTTATACTGCATCTCATTTGTGATGATCAAGTGTTTTACATTAGATATTTATGCAATATATTTATTAACATCAAAGAGTTAGATTCACTTTCCATAAAACGGCCCTGCCCATATACCAATAAACTGACCAAGTCACAATATCCCATAACTAACATCCAGGGTTCGACACTAACTTTTTTACCTTGGTGGACCGCAGGTCCACTTGTTAAAAATTATTGGTGGACCTTCTCAATATCTGGTGGACCTTTATAAATGTTTGAATTAATGAATGAATCATTACATGAGGCATTAATTAAAGCTACCTTTAATATATACCGATTCCAGTCAGACTAGTAAAGCATAAATCTAACCAGTCAACAGAATCAAATCAGTTAGGGACTCGTCAGATATTTTAAATCAGAAATATTGTTGAACTTAAAACAAAACAAAACGTATTAATCTACAAACCAAAAAGATTTTTTTTTAAAATTAATATCATTAAGTTACAATGGTGAAAACCTAAAACCTGCATTAATTTTGCTTCCAGAGGTAGATTAAATTTAAAATTCCAATTATTAATTTAATTTGTTCAAATATTAAACAAGTGAATTTTTCATGCATTTATGGCTAGATCTTTTTTTTTTTTACTACAATGTGAGATAGAAATTAACATGTAATGTGTATTAATCAATTATTTTTCTAAATTTATTATTTATTCAAATAAGTAGTGATATAATGTATATCAAGAAAAAATGAAACTGCAGATTAGTTGATAAAATGTAAATTACGCCTATTTGAACATCTATTTAAAAAAAAAAAATACATAAATGCAGCTGTCAATCAGTTCTAATTATCTACAAGTGTGTATGTTCAGGCGTGAAGCGATTTTCACACCTTTCTATGCATTACGTAAACAGAGGAGAGACTGGCTAATCTGGCACGGATTTTTCATGCTTCTTATATTTAAGGTCCATGTTGTATGTTCTTGCGTCTCAATATTATTGTTAATATTGGATTTATCAATTTAACATCATATAAAATATATCGAGTTCTAGGTCCCCCTGATTACCTAAAATATTATTTACATGTATATTTACTTTTAGTTAAATACAGGTATGGAGGAATTAATAATTTGAGTTACGGATTTAAGAAAAAAACCTGGAATTTCACTGTTTTTTTTAATACGGTGTTTAAATTTTAAGTGGACCGACGGTCCACCTACGCTAGAACATTTGGTGGACCTTCCAATTTTTTGGTGGACTCGGGCCGCCGGTCCACCGTTAGTGTCGAACCCTGACATCAGTATAAACAGTCAAGGGCATCATGGAAACAAGTTATTTTTTAAATGATTTGTTTAAGTTATTAAATGTCAACATTTTGGGTTATCTTTCCCTGATTATGCATTTCTTCAGTAACTTATTCCAGTTACTGATACTTTACTACTCATTATTGTAAACCTACTGGCATCTGAATAGCTTTAGTCATGCTGTGCTTGGGTTATTAAGTAGAAGGAAAGCGTTCATGACAGTAAAAGTAATCTATCTTTACAATCTAGCACATTGAAATTCCACAAATCATAACTTATTTCTGTTATTTCATCTTTAACCCACCTCACTTTAGAACTCTTGCACAAAAATATACAGCTTTGCACAAAAAATGTAAGACTTAGAGATTGTACAGTAATGTCCAAAGATTATAAGAAAATTAGTCTCACTGTTGGCAAAATTGGCAGAAGATGTGTAATTGACCCCTGAAATGTTCATGAATTGTCATTATTTTTCCCTTCGATTTTTTTTAAATATCATCTTATCTGCTTAGGAGATATTAAGTCTGATGATTTTATTAAAAGAAGTACATATATTTACAACTTTCTCAGCCTTATATCATCTTTAATCAGCAGAAAACTCAACATATTGATGTTTTTTGGCAAAACTGATAGGCATTCTACTTTTTAAGAGTTAACTCAAATGAGTTACTTCTTTGTTTAGTCATAAAAAATAACTTGATTCCATCATGCCCCTGACTGATAAAGATGAGACTTAGTACTTGCATTCCTTTAAAAAAAGTTTCTTCTGCAAATCCAGCTATAGAAAAATGGGCTTTGTGAAAATTGTTATGTTCTTGAAATTCATAGAGCCAAAATAGGCCTTTAGTAAACCTTGTTCTTTTAACTCTTAATCATCCCCTTTGCAAACATATTGTAGAACAATTCTTACATTGCAGTGGAGTAGATAGGGATGTAGTTATTGATTGTGTGTATAAGTAGGATAGTTAGACCTTTGTGCCAAATGGAATTGACACAATTTTTGCTTTGGGATCAGGGTAGTTTATATCCAGATAGATGTAGAATGCTACATGCCTTGATTTACAGTGGAAATTTTAACGTTATAATTTAGACTAAATTTTTCCTCGTTATTCCATTCATCAAACATCATATTTACATGTATATATAGCAAATGCAAATGACATTGCAGCATATTTACAAACATTAATCATTATTTTAATAAATACATAAAAGTGCCTTTTGTATGATTATTATAATTTTAAAATGAATAATTGTCATGATTAACTCTAAATGGTCAAAGATTTCACTTCAGATATTTGATTTTCCTCAGTTGTTTCTTCAACAACTGAGCAACAAACATATTGTCATTTGTATCTATACACAGTCCCCAGGGTCCATCCAGTCTACATTCTATGTAACGGAGGAACTGTCCATCCTGGTCTATAATGTGGACACAATGATTGTATTCATCAGCTGTAAGGATGTGACTCTGACTGTCTGTGGTGATTCCTCGTGGACTGTATGGTTCATTCTTTGGAGCAGGAGTATGTCCAGTGTACCTAAATCTCAGTTTCCCGGCCTGATTGACCACCACTACTGCTTTAGCTCCATCATCAGACACACAAATATCTAGATTCCTGTTCTCAGTTATATATCTAGTATCAACTGTATAAATAGGTTTACCTTTATCATCAAACTGAATGGTTTGTTTCTCTGTGGAGCCAGAGTAACGGACAACTTTAGATTGTTTTTTATAATCCATGATAACCAGGAGGTCACCAGAGGAGGTACTACAGACACCTTTAGGTCTCCATTTCTGTAGTCTGATCACCTCCTCTATCTTCTCATTCTTCACAATGTTCACAGTTCTATCATAAAAATCAGTATAAACTAGATCTCCACTTTTTGTCACTACTATACTAGATGGTTCGTTCCCTGACTTGGTTCTGATTGACTTGAGTAGTGATCCCTGATTGATGCTGAAGAGTTTCATGGTGTTGTCATTTCCCCTTGTCCAGATTTCTTCATCACTCAGACAGGCCACATTGTAAAGGTAATTGCTATACCCAGTGTGTATGGTGGTGACAGTCTCTGGTTCATCAAGCAGCTGTTTGACTGGAGGAGAGGATCCAGCTTCTGGTGATTTCTGTGTTGTCTTCATGCTGTAGCCATGTTCATCTGATGTTAAAGAACTTGATGATAATGCTCCAAACATTTTACTTAGTTCTTCTTGATGCATTTTTCTTGGAATGAATTTAGGTAAAGATGGTATAATTTTGTGTGGAAGATATCCGTATGTGTGTACATTGGATGATACATTTAATAGTTTTGACAAGTCATTGGTGTCTATTGCAGTTTCCATCGAATCAATTTCGTCCTTGATGTCAGAAATGTTCTTGTTTATTTCATCCAGATGTTTCTGTAGAGTTTGTAACTGTGTGTTTTTCATTTCATCAACTTCAGCTTTAAGTTTCTTGACAAGTTTATCAATTTCTCTGTGCCAGTCCTCTCCATGTTTTGTTATGGCTGTTGAGAGATCACCATATTCCTTTTCTAACTGACTCATTCTGTTTTGTACATCAGAGGCAATGTCCTTGTAGATTGGGTAAATTGTATCATTTAATTCATTTCTTTCTTTTGTAATCATATCTTTCTTCTCACCAACAACTTGCACTATTTTAGATAATTCATGCCCTAAATGATGTTTAGATGCCAGACAGCTAAGACAGACAGGAATGTCACATTGTTTACAGTACATTTCACATTGTTCTTTTGCATGAGATGTACATACAGGGTATAGGAGAGTGGATTTTCTGGTCTGAATAGTGACAACTTTGTGATTGATTGATTGATCAGATATCATGTGTTTTCCTACACAAGCTGTGCACAGGTTGACAAGACATGTATCACAGTGCATCTGTACCACAGCGGTCTCACACAGGTCACATCACATCACGTCCTGGGCACTGATACGGGGGTCCATCATTAGATTTTGTGACTAAAGCATAAAAAAATTAATTAAGAATAAGTTGCTTTACATTTGAGAGCAACGTGTATTTTTTTGGACTCTTTTAAAAACCACATTTTGCCTGAGACCTTTAGGCAGATATATTCATGTACGTAACGTAAACAAGTCCTTATATTAATTATACAAGGTTCATTGTAGGAAGGAAAATTTGTTTGCATAATTAAAGCCTGCAGTACTGAATTTTTAGTAACTTTCAGAATTGTTTTCATATGGACAGAAATACTTAAAACTTTTTTACCTCACTTTCGTAATGGCAGCCGTCCTTGATCGATCTCCAAGTGCAGTCTGTATACACACACTGATCATGTGACACATCTGTATTATTTACCTGCCAGGTGTTTATACTTCCTGGTTAGAGGGGATTTAAATATGTCAAATAACGGCTCTTCAAAATGCATTATTTATTTTATATAGTTCATGTGCTGTTGTTTAGCGCTATTGATCTACTTGACCAGAAGGATTTATGTGACAGTATTTCATATTGGTGACTGTTGTCCATCTGTTTGTGTGTAAACAAGTAAACTAAGTTGCCAAAATTTTGAAAATTGAAATTTGTGTGAAACACCATTCCTCCTACAGTTTTATCCATTTCAATATAACTTGGCACACATGTAGAATACACTGAAAAAGAACTTTTTAAGTTTTCTTACTGTGATGAAAGGTGTTGCTAGGGTTCTTAAAAATTGAAATTTCCGCATAAATTTCTTGCAAAAGTTTATCCCCCGTACAGTGTTAGCCTGATGGGAAATAAGAGCAAGAGCCACTTTGCAATTGGGCCTTAATTATTTGGTCATGAGAATTTCTGAAAAATCAAAACCGCTTAGTTTAGGTTGCAATGCAGTAATATCACTTGGATTGTTGTTGACCACGCATCTAATAATCGTGATGTAATCTCTCATCTAGTCAATGCATTATGACGTCATAAATTGCATCATTTTCCTCTTATCCTGTAAATTCCTTTGAAAATGACCTGAAGTTGAAGCATTTTTTCAATATTTCATATAGAGCACAACCTCTGATCCAAAATATGCAAATACATAATGACAGACCTGTTTCTGAAGATCAAAAAACATGTTTTATTTTTTTGGATCGTGGGCTGGGCTCATATTTTAGTTCTTTGCTGACTGTTGTCAAATACGCATGTTTTCTGCAAAGAATGGGTGGACTTAACTGGCCAGAAAAAAAAAATGCCGTAAATTTAAGTTCCGTTAAAAGTTATTTTTTTCCCATCATATAAACCCCCGATATCTTAACTGTGTATTTATGGTACGGATGTGAATTTAAAATGCTCTTTTCAAGGTAAACTAAATAAATATCGAAGGCATGGTGCCTGAATATTTGTTGAGTATCAATAGATAATCAGGGTCACGCATTTTTCATCGTCTGAATACATAGTCAGCGCATGTTTGTTGGCTGTTCTTACAAAAACTATAGTTGTATATTGAACAAAATAATGTCATATTAAAAGGAGAAGAGCCGACAAACGTGCGATCACACTTAATTTTACAGAAAACATGTTCCAAACAAACTTCTCTCTTCCATTGTTACGACTTTGATTGACCTGTTAAATATTACAATTCATCACGTGATGTCCACCTAGGAGTGTACTCGTGGAAACAGTTACATTGTATTCTTCAACCTGACCTAGATGTAAATCACTATTATTTGGTGCTGTTTTCAGAATTTAGCACATTAAATGTTGTTTTAATTTTGCGTGTCCTCACATTTAAAAAAAAAAATCATAATGACATCGCTGTAATATTCCAAACACGTATTCGAATTTCTAGAGAGAAAGATGGAGAGAGAGAGAGAAATGTCAACAATGACACCGATCAATAGCCCCACCTCCTATTAATATTGATAGCGCGACCTAAAAACCACTGCGGGTACATGTCAAATTACGGAAGACGACACTAATGTATCTTTCTTTCAATTTTGATTCATGGCAACAAGGCATTGCTTTTGTATATATGTTTTAGCTAAAATAACCATGTATACATCACTTTTTCTAGTGGTTGTAATATAATTTAGATTCACTTTATTTTTAACTTGTTAGAGTAGTCTCAAAAAGATCCAAAATAGGGCGTTAAGTCCACCCATTCTTTCAAGAACATTGCAATTTTTCAAACCTGTTTTCCAATTTCTGGATTCTCAAAATGAAATTTTTTATAGCAAATGAAAGCACCAAGTGTCTTCTTTATTTTGATATATGAAATGGGAAAGAGGGTGATAGTTAATTACTTGATATAAGTACAGGGCCATTTTATGCTTAAGATGGCTCTTGCTCTTTTCTCACCAAAAAAAAAAAAAAAAGAAAGAAAAAACCAAGGACTATTATTTTATAGCTATTTATAAATTATTGTTGTTGCACAGTTTCAAGTTAAGTGTATCCTTTATACTCCTTTGTTTTAAATACAAAGTAGCGGAGTCAAATTTTCATCATAGACTTCTGATTTCATTTTATTTGAAAGCACTAGAAAATTCTTTTGTGCATATTACAATGTACATGTTTATTTGAAATATGTATAAAAGAGCATTAATTTCTCTATGAAAAATTATAAAAGATAAACAAAATCAGTGATAGAGGTCTCACACAGGTCACATCACCAGATTCTGGACACGTACATTTTGTTAGAGTCCATGTATGTGTAAATCAGAATTTAAAATTAATTGCATGCAGCTGTGTAAAGAAAAAAAAAATGTGTGTGACACCATTGAAAACTTGATGGAAGTAATCTTTTTCTATTTTTCAATACTAGATGCTATAGTTATAAATTGTAATTTTATTAAAGGTGAGAGAGATGGCAGCCATAACATTGAGTGGATTGGTACATTGTGGATTTCTAGACATGGACAAAGATATGCTGGTAATTTCTGAATTTCTACATAGTCTAAATTTGTATTTTATCTTGTTATTTTATGTCTCAGAATTTCAAACTTGAAGTTTGAAGTCAATAATAAATAACTTAGGTCCCATGTAGCAGCAGGTAGTGGCCCGAGAAAGATCTCTGGCTGCTCAATGGTTCTAAGTGTCGAGTATAAACCTAAGGTATAAATTTGCAGCCATCAGTCGGCAATTGTTGGCATCTTAATATAAGTGAACAAATATTCTCATGAGGACAACATGTCTGTGGAGAGGGCAAACAAACATCCTTTTTAAGATTGCCATACCATGCCAATATGATATATTTTCACTTATCTTTAAAATGAAAAAAAGCCATGTAAAGCGTGAAGTATATGTACATAGTGTTTTAATTTTTTTATTACTTTTAAACAGGAACACTTTGAAGTCCTTAGTAAGAACAAGGTGAAAAAGCGTAAGTTAGCGGACTCGATGCCTCTGGAGGCCCTTATAAAGCGTCACGCTGGTGTCCTGGGTCTCAGTGCTCTAGTGGAAGCCTATCCTTACAATGTACCCGAGTTCATGCCACAGATCTTAATGGACCTTAGTAACCATGTCAACGACCCTCAACCAATTCAGGTCAGTAGCTCTTTATTTTGGTGTCAATCAATACAGGTCAAAACTTACACTCAATCAATTCAGGTCATTTGAATCTTACACTCATGTCAACAAATTCAGGTCATTGAATCTTACACTTATGTCAACAAATTCAGGTCATTGAATCTTGCACTCATGTCAACAAATTCATGTCAAAACTTACACAACTAATTCAGCTCAGTATAACACAGTGTTCAATGTGTTACCTACATTGTGGCTATTGTCAAATGTGTTGCTACAGCTGAGGGTAACATGAAAGATTAATAAATGTCCATGTATCTAAACAAATCAAATTTAGCATTTAACATATAAAAAAGTAAAATAATGATAAACTCTCTATTGGTTTTATTTTTTGCAGATGACTGTGAAGAAGACTTTATCAAACTTCCGTAGGACACACCACGACAATTGGCATGATCACAAACAAATGTTTACAGACGATCAGCTGGTCATATTAACTGATATTCTAGTGTCTCCTACTTACTACGCTTGACGACGGATCACTCCTAGAAATATTACAAACCAAAGTGTATGGACCTAACTAGGAACAGCTCAGTCATAGTAAAACAGGCCAGAGTTATCCCCCCCCCCCCATAACAGGGTCGCAAAAGTCAGAAGCACCCATCTCATTTCACAGACATTAATTTGTAAGACATAATAAGTTATTTTATTATTCCTCAATCCTCCTATATAGTTTGACCATTTCATTTATATTTTAGGGATTTTTCATACAATGTGTTTGATGTGTATCATGAATACAATATTAATATGCATTTTGTTAAGGTAATCAAGTAAACATATGACGTCTGCTCAGAGTTTATGAAATAAGCTTTATGCAAGTCTTAGTTGGTTAAAGGGAAATAACCTAGATATATGTTTTGGAGATTGCTAACAGAGATTTTTTGTGAACTTTTTTGAATCTGTTTTTTTTGTTACCTCAAAATATCCTGCATAAATGAAGGCAATTTTTGATTGATTGATAATATCTGAGGCACTTGAGATGTATAGGTAGTATTACATGTATTTACTTTCAGAAATAGTATGGTGTTTTAAAACTAAACTTTTTCAAATAAATATTTTATATATGGACAGTTAAGGATACAGTGCCAAAATCATTAGTCATTTGATGAAAGGCATAAAATCTATCAGAGAAAAATGTTCTTCAAGTAAACATATACATTTCCCTGGACTTTTAAGTGTAAATCTATCGGTAAAAATGTTCTTAAAAGTTGTAAATTTAGTATAGCCATAAGTTATTTTTCGTGAATGGGGGTAAATGTAAATTTGTATTTAATTGTTCAGTTTCCATGTAATTACATTTTAATGTATTAGCAAGTACATTTACTGAGATTTTTAATTAAAAGATAACCATGAATGTGTTGAGACCATATGTCGGTTTAGAAACACAGTTAATGTTACGATAGAAAAGTATAGAGACCAATTGAAATATTCTAAATCTATAAATTTTCATGTAACTGTATGAAAAGTTTTTATTAAAAGTTCACATTTCATGAACCTGTATTAAAGAGGACTGTGTTATAATCCATGGGTTTTGATTTAAATTATTCCCGAAGTGATACAATCAGTTTTTCATTATATCATTAACAAATTATTTTACCATAATAATATGAATCCTTTTCATGTTTTCATAAAAAAAACGTGGATTTAAATAAAAATTATGCTTTCATGAAAAGTGTTGTTGTAATGTTCTGCAAAAACAATTCGAATCAAATATATATGATCATATTTTGAAATATCCTTACTGACATCTTCATCCTATACATGAGTGTACAATGTAAAATTTAAATATGAAAGAGTTGAACAGACACTTTCTGAATTTTTTTTAAAAAAATGTTAGGAAGTCCAGCATTCACTTGCATAAATCTTAATATCATTTTTATGTTTCATCTAGGCATGGTTGACAATTCTTCAAAAATATAATTTGTTGAGTATCATGCTCATAGCAATTCATATGAAGCATCATGTAGGATCTTATGAAGATTGTACAAGGACTTCCAATAAAATTATGTGTTAGTGTTCCACTTAATAAATGTAAGATAGAAAGTAGGACTTACAGAGATTAGATTGAAGTAGTATGTGGAATATAAAAAAGCAACCAAAAAAAAATCAGAATACAGGACTAGACTAATATCAATTTATTATAAAAGTATCAAATAAATATATAAACAGGCAAAACATGAACCTCAAAAAGCTCATGCCTACAATTTTGGAAACAGCATCAAAGCCACGATTTTATGTATTATGGCATTATTAGGGGCACCTGTCCATAACCGTGCAGTATCAGTTAGTCCTGGCTCAATCATGCAAAAAAAAATATCTGGAAGAAAATACTATATCATCTCCGGATGTTTTGGTAAGAACTATATACAGGAACACCTTAAAAAGTTATGGATACAGGACTGGTGTACTTTATAATGTTCAGATGATTGTCAGGACCCAAGGCCGTTAAATGAAAAATTTGGGAGTTCTAACTCGAAGTTACCACAGGGCTTGATGTTTTTAACCTTTCTCTTCATAAAAAAATTTACCAATACTATGTTATCAATATATAGGTAAATTTTTATTTTTGAACAGAAAGGTTAAAAACATCAAGCGCCTGTGTAAGTTACTTGGAAAATGAATTTACCTGTGGGATGAGATTTCTAATTTGGTTCAGATGAAACAAAATAAAATGCTAATATTCTTTATTTCTATATACGACCATCAATCAAATTTGAACTTGCAAAATTGTTTATATTCAGTTTAATGACAAGAAATAACACAATTTTATACATTGAATGAATGGCGATTCATTAAAAAGACCATCATACAAACTCATTTGTGCTACATTCATTAGAACATCTTGGTCTCTTGTACTCAAAAAAATTATACATGTAAGGAACATTTGTGACAGACAAACCATCACAGATATGTTGGATGCTTATTTTATCTCTTCAGATTATCTAATGTCTATTTCAGCAGTTATTATGATACTAATGCAAAATGAAGTTATTTTTCCAGAAAAAAAAACCCCATAATTTTATATGAAACAAACCAACTCTGAAATTAATATATGTTAGATTTACGGAAACATGAGAAACATCTCATCTAGGATGACCAAGTAGAGGTAGGTTATTTACAAAAACAACCAGTGCAATGCAATATGCAATACATAATGAATAAGAGGCCCATGGGCCAAATCGCTCACCTGAGTAGCTTTGACCATGCTGTTGTTTACAAAATTCCCTCTTAAAATGCGTATTGTGATACACATGTACAACCCTACCTCATGGGTCATAATTTGAACCATTTAGAATCTACACTATACTGTACCCCAGGATGTATCCACATAAGTCTCAGCTATTCTGGCCCAGTGGTTAATTCTTAAGAAGATTTTTTTTAAAGCTTCCTATATATTCATATGTGAAACTTAGATTCCTTATTGAGGCCCCACCCTACTCTAAGGGGTCATGATTTGAACAGGTTAGAATCTGCACTACCCCAGGATGCTTCCACATAAGTTTCAGCTTTTCTGGACCAGAAGTTCTTTAGAAGACAATTTTTGATAACCCCGCCAAATTTTTTTCATTTCTTGATTATCTTCCCTTGTGAAGGGACTTGGCCCTTGATTTTTAGCTCACCTGAGCCCTTGATTTTTAGCTCACCTGAGCCGAAGGCTCAATTAAGCTTTCTTATCTAGATTGGCAGTTGTCGGTCTTTGTTGTCGTTGCGTTGTCGTTAACTTTCAACATTTTTATCTTCTTCTCAAGAACCAATGGGCCAATTTCAATCAAACTTGCCATAAAGTATCCTTTGGTAAAGGGGATTCAAGTTTGTTCAAATGAAGAGCCATCCCCTCTTTCAAGGGAGAGAATTATGAATTAGTGAAAAATTAATATCATCTTCTAAAAATCTTCTTTTAAAGAAACACTGGCCCAGGAAAGTTGAAACTCATGTGGAAGCATCTTCAGGTAGTGTAGATTCAAGTTTGTTAAAATCATGACCCGCGGGGCTAGGGTGTGGCCACAATGGGGTATCAAAGTTCAATATAGGAATACATGGGAAATATCTTTAAAAATCTTCTTCTCCAGAACTACTCGGCCAGGAAAGATGAAACTCATGCTTTCCTCAGGTAGCAAAGATTCAAGTTTGTTCAAATCATGACCCCCAAGGGTAGGGTGGGGCCACAATTGGGTATCAAATTTCAACATAAGAATAAATAGGGGAAAAAAATTAAAATTCTTCTCAAGATTCACTGGGCCAGGAAAGATGAAACTCATGCAGAAGCATCTTTTGAAAGGGAATATTTAATTTTGTGCAAATCATGACCCCTTGGGCAAGGGTGTGTCCACTACTGGTGATCAATTGCAAGGTTGTAATTAGGAATTCATGGTAAAAATTGTTAAAATTCTTCCCAAAGCCATCATGATATTGATCATAAATTAAAAGCATTAAAAAGGTAATATAGATTTGAAATTCAGGAGAATAGAGTAGCCATAAAGTGGACAAATGAATACAAAGGCTATACCAATGAAAAAAAATCTTATAAACAACAAAACCCTTATGTGTCACAAAAGCATTTTCTGAGGAAATGTAGATTTAAGTTTGTTTAAATACCCCCCCCCCTCCCTCACAAGAACCCATATTTATAATATATTTAAATTTTTCAAAACTGAACTAATTTTTGCTTTACCTAGTCAGTTTCTCAGATGAGCGATGTGTGGCCCCTGGGCCTCTTGTAACAATTTAAACTCCCCTTTATCCAAAGATGCTTTGTACCAAAGTTTGGTTAAAATTGGCCCTGTGGTTCTTGAGAAGAAGTCGAAAATGTGAAAAGTTTACATAGGACGGACAGACGGAGATCTAGACGGACGACAGACAGAATTTTATCAGAAAAGCTCTCTTGAGCCTTTGGCTCAGGTGAGCTAACAACAGAGAGCTTGATTAACTTATCCATATGATGGCCCTGTCCGTATACCAATTAACTGACCAAGTCACAATATCCCATTTCAAACATCAATATAAAGATGAGACTTAGTACTTGTATTTCCTATGAAAAGTTTCTTCGGAAGTCCGGGTTTAGAAAAATGGGCTTTGTGAAAATTGCAATGGTTTTGAAATCTGATGAAAATGCATGTTTTGAGTATCTTCAACAAAGAAAATGTAAATGTACCGACTGATTGATCTGAAAAATAAAACATGGATTATAATAATGGATTATATCATGTTTAACTGTTTTAATGGTCCAAGATTTACTTCAGATATTTGATTTTCCTCACTTGTTTGTTAAACAATTGAGCGACAAACAGATTGTCAAATGTATCTGTACACAGTCCCCTGGGATGATTCAGTCCACAGTGTATGTAACGGAGGAACTGTCCATGCTGGTCTATAATGTGGACACAGTGATTGTCATAATCAGCTGTAAGGATGTGACCCTGACTGTCTGTGCTGATTCCTCGTGGACTGAATGGTTGTATCTGTTGAGCAGGAGTATGTCCAGTGTACTTGAATCTCAGTTTCCCGGCCTGATTGACCACTACTACTGCTTTAGCTCCATCATCAGACACACAGATATCCTGGTTCCTGTTCTCAGTAATGTGTCTATAAGAAAGACAAGATGAATAGAAAGGATAACCTTTATCATCAAACTGAATGGTTTGTTCTCTCTGTGGAACCAAAGTAACGGACAACTTTTGTTTGATTGTTATCGTCATTGCTCATAATAACCAGGAGGTCACCAGAGGAGGTACTACAAACACCCTTAGGTTTCCAGTTCTGTAATAGTCTGATCACCTTCTCTATCTTCTCATTCTTCACAATGTTTACAGTTCTGTACAAGTAATCAGTATAAACTAGATCTCCACTTTTTGTCACTGCTATGTAGGATGGTTCGTTCCCTGACTTGGTTTTGATTGACTTGAGTAGTGATCCCTGACTGATGCTGAAAAGATTCATGGTGTTGTCAGTTCCACTTGTCCAGATTTCTTCATCGATCAGACAGACTACATTCCAAAGGTTTCTATGCCTAGTGTCTATGGTGTTGACAGTCTCTGGTTCATCAAGCAGCTGTTTGACTGGAGAAGAGGATCCAGCTTCTGGTGATTTCTGTGTTGTCTTGATGCTGTAGCCATGTTTATCTGATGTTAAAGAACTTGATGATAAAGCTCCAAACAGTTTACTAAGTTCTTCACTTTTTATTTTTCCCCGAATGAATTTTGGTAAAAATGGAATGACTTTGTCTGGAAGATTTCTGTATGTGTGCAATTTGGATGTCACATTTAATAGTTTTGACAAGTCATTAGTGTCTGTTGCAGTTTCCATTGAATTGATTTCATTCTTGATGTCAGAAACGTTCTTGTTTATTTCATCCAGATGTTTATGTAGAGTTTGTAACTGTGTGTTTTTCATCTTATCAACTTCAGCTTTAAATTTCTTGACAAGTTTGTCAATTTCTCTATGCCCGTCCTCTCCATGTTTTGTTATGGCTGTTGTGAGATCTCCGTATTCCTTTTCTAACTGACTTATTCTGTTTTGTACATCAGAGGCAATATCTTGGTAGGTGGGATAAATTGTATCATTTAATTCATTCCGCTCTTTTGTAATCATGTCTTTCTTTTCCCCCACAACTTGCAAGACTTTAGATAATTCATGACCTAAATGTTGTTCAGATGCAAGACAGCTAAGACAGACAGGAATGTCACATTGTTTACAGAACATTTCACATTGCTCTTTGTAATGAAATGTACAACCAGGGTAGATTGGAGTGGATTTCCTAGCCTGAAATTTGACAACTTTGTGATCCTTGGATTCATCTGTTAAAATGTGTTCTCCCACACAAGCCTTACACAGGTTGACAAGACAAGTATCACAGTGCATCTGTACCACAGCGGTCTCACATAGGTCACATCGCATCACATCCTGGGCACTGGTTCGAGGGTCCATCATTAGATTTTGTGCCTGAAGCATAAAAAAATAATTAATGTATTAAGAATTAGATGCTATACATTTGAGATCAACATGCAGTGCCATATTTTCTGACTCCAAAAGAGCTATAGCGCATTTGATAGTCACTTTCGCCTACTCTTGTAGTGATTTTTTAAATACTTTGTTTAACCAAAATTTTGTAATACAATGTTAGTTTATTCACGTCTTAAAGCAACTCACACAAAAACAATACTTAATTATTAATAGTTCCCTCATATGATAGTTATAAAAAGTGTTCAGTTTATATGGAGAATAAAGTAAATGCTGAGGTACCCCTTAAACAATGACAAACTGTAGGAAAAGACCACCCTTAACCAGAAAAACAACTTCTGAATAATTTGATTTGGATAATACTGCACTTCATTACGTTTAGATAATTTTGGTTAAAGCTGGTCTTCATATTGAAAATGTTGAAAATATGTAATTAATTTTTATTCTAAAATTATTTCAAAATTCAACAATCTGTCTTAATTTTATCCATTTGATTACCAAGACTTCGCGGTGTAGTCGTATGATTGCTGGATTGGTGACAAAATGATCATGAGTTCGAGTCTAACAGTGCGTCTTACTTAACTATGATTTTATTTTTTTTTCTCTGTGTGCATTTTCCTATGTTTTCTTTATTATTTTATAATACATGTATAAATAATTTTTAAAAGAGATATATAATACAACATTAAACATTGAAAGTATCTTTGGGAAAAACAGTCTTAAACTATTTTAATGACCCAAAGTCATATCTGCTATCCTGTTTTATTTTTAAATTTTTCAAACAATCATGTTTAAAATAAGAGTATTGGACAAGTAAAATTACTGTCATGCAAAAAACTTGCAACTATGAAAATATAACACTAGTTCACAAATGATTACATACAATTAGTTTGATTTTGAATTGAAAAGGTACAGTATTTATAACTAGAAACAGGTGATTTCCTTTTAAATACTTGAGTAGGCCGAGTCGTCGGTAAGGCAGCTATGGCTCTTACAATTTTGTCTGCGACCATTAGGCAGATAAATTCATGTAGATAAACAAGTTACATGTTTCTAAAACAAGGTTCTTTGAATCTTTGTAGGAAGGAAATTTTGTTTGCTGTGCAGTACTGAATCTTCAGTGACTTTCAGAATTGTTTTCATATGCTCAGAAAAAACTTTAAACCTTCTTACCTGACTTCAGTAAAATGGCGGCTGTCCTGTTGATCGATCTCCAAGTGCAGGGTCTATGTTTTGGTATTCTGATCATGTGACACACCTGTGTTCTACTCTAAATCCATTCATTACTTTCAAATGAAAGTACAATAAACAACAAACACACCATTTGGACATAGCAACGACACGCAGCAGCTTTATTTGTACAACATATTTGTATATATACATGTTTATGTTGGATTGAATAAATCATGATAAAATTTAAACTATATTGGCTCTACGTGTCGTCCTAAACTGGTATTTAAACCACTATTCACCTCTTATATAGCTTTGCTAACGAGACCGGTTCTAAAGAACCACGTGATATTCACCAGGTATTCGAATGAAAACCTTGTAATTCCGAAAAAGTAATTCATTATCACACCAAGTAGAAATTGATTTCTGTCTAATTCGTTCCTAAAACGAAAGAAATCATATTTATCTACCTGTCACAGGTCGAGACCACTAGATTTTCTGACGTCAGAATAAATTTGCATGTAAATTAGCTATCTGTTTACTTTACCCACTCATGAATGAGTCGCAATGCATTGTGGGCTACTACAAGTACTCAGCTGTGTTGAAAATGAGGGCCAACTTGAATTATCCCTTGCAAACTTATTTTCAATTCTTCTTTGAGATTTGTGGAAGAAATATTTAAAATGATGTATAATCTTTCATTTCTATGCTCACATTTACAAAATTTGCTTTAAGAAGCCTTATATATCAACTTAATAATTCATCGGCCTAAACCATTGTTTGAAGAGACGTACATGTAGATGCTATCGTGTCGATAAAGCATTGAGTTTTTTTTCACGTGATATACGTGTACATAGTTTTAGACAGCAGTACAAGGTGCGCTATTATTATTTAATCCCTAAATATTATCAAAAAGTTTTTTAATGTACTGTAAATGCAAACATCAAAGCGTTTGCACATTATTCGAACTTTCGATGTAACTATTAATTATATAAAACAACTCCAATATTAAATGAGAGCATGGAGCAATGTCTTGAGAATGTAATCTTTCAATTTCGGACTTAAAAAGTGACAAAGAAGCTCTACGGTTTTTCCGGTGACGAAGTTAATGTTATGCAGAAATGGACGAAAACCACGTGTCGCCATTGAATCGTAAACACGCAGTCGAGTGTCATGCTTTCGGACTCATTCACTTGATTGGCGAACGGGTGTGACGAAGTTATCGTCACGTGTTGAAAGGTGCCTTCCATATAAGGTAGTGGTCTCGACCTGTGTCAGGTGTTTATACTTCCTGGTTTAAAGTGGGATTTAAATTCCCTTAACTACTTCTATTTCAAATGCAGTTATATTTATTTTATGTAGTTCCTGTTATTTTTTAGCTCTACTTGTCAGTGTCCTTAAGAGTTTATGAGATAGTAATGCGTCTGTCATTCCTCCATTTGTCTGTCTAACTGTCTGTGTGCAAACGTCTAGTTTTGACTTGATTTTAATATAATTTAACACACAAGTAGAGAAGACTAAGATAAAAATAATTCTGTTGTTTTGGTTTTTGATTTTGGTTAATGTTGTTGCCAAGGTTTATGAAAAAATGAAATTTATGTAAAATTTTCTCAGCATGCTATTCCTCTTACAGTTTTGGTCTGACTTGATAATACGTTATCACATACTTAGTACAATAAACATTCACTGTCAGAGAAATAATGATGTTGCTATGGTTCTTAAAATTGAATTTTCAGTAAAATTCTTGGAAAAAAAACTACAGTAAACCCTTCCTACAGTTTTAGCTTGATTGCAATAAACCTTGCGACAAAAGAAACTATAAACCGATGATTATTTTTCTTTTTATGACTGTAGCATATAGTGTTGTTCCAATCATTGATTATAATTGAAAAATCAGTTGACTGCTGGCATAATCCAAGCGCTTTATTACATTTTTTTATTCCGATTAATCAGGTTATTTTATTTTATAAGCATAAACATTTGTAAGCCAAATTTCCAGCCTCAACTATTTTATTAACTTTTTTGATAGATTGGGGGCGCATATTGTTTTTGTCCAGTCTGTCTGTCTGTCTGTTTGTCTAGCAACTTTACAGAGGCTGGAGGGTGGCAGCCATTTTTAGACTATTTCAATCTCCTTTAAAAGGAGAGCTCCATATAAAGATATACATAAATGATCAAATTTTAAAACTAAAATGTACGAAATTTTACTTTGCCATATGGTAGTTGACAGCTCAAGATACCGTATCTAAAACAATAAGTTAAATCTGGTGGTTAATTTGGGATTAATTTGTTGACCCACCAGCCTCCTTAACCTTGTCTATAACTTTTGAACCATGAGAGATAGAGACTTCATATTTTGGGATGCGTCCGGATCGATAGATTTGGGGAGCATATTGTTTTTATCCCGTCCGTTTGTCTGTCAACTTTAACTTTAGCATGAGAGACTTCTTGTTTGGTATGCATATTTCACTTTTAAGCTCTTTCAAATGATACCAAGGTCAATGACCTTGACTGTGTATCTTTATCATAAAAACAGCTTTTTTGAACTATCAGCATAACTTTTGAACCAATATATTGAGATAGAGACTTCATATTTAGTGTGTATACTTTATTAATTAACCTCTTTCAAATGAGACCAAGGTTTATGATCTGGTGACCTTTACTCTGACCTGTATACTAAAAATAGTTTTATCAAACTCTTTTTCCACCTGGTACATTGTGTTTCACAAACACATCTTGTTCTGTTTTGCAATACTAGATGATATAGATTACTTATTAATTGTATTTGTACCAAAGGTGAGAGAGATGGCAGCTATAACATTGAATGGATTGGTACATTGTGGATTTCTAGACATGGACAAAGATATGCTGGTTATTTCTGAATACTACTTACAATTCATATTTATCTTGTTATTTTATATCTCAGAATTTCAAATATGAAGTTCTAGGTCAATATTAAAAAACTAAAGTTCCATGTCACGGTCGGTGGTGGCACGAAAAAGATCCCTCTCTGCTCAAAAGCCCTAGGTGTCAAGTATGTAGGTTTAAATTTGCAGTCCTGCAAATTTTGTCCTATATGGGTACAGTCCACTAACTTCAGAGTTATGACTGGCGTTATAATACACAAAATAATTCGGCTGATCTTCTTGATAAATTACATTTCCCAAATTTTTTGGTAGAAAAGATACTCCATATCAACAAGTGTGAGGCTCAGTTCAGTACATCTGCCCAATTTTTTTTATGCAGGTCTGCAAATTAAGGAACTTGTAATTTTTTCTGCACTACTTTCTTCTCCTACCGATTCTAAAAATAATTAGTGGGATGTACCCATATTTGGCACCCAGGGACATTAAGCATTGAGAGATCTTTTTATTTTGCCAGCACCTATTGTGACACAGGAACTCTGTTTATACGGTCTCATGCGACGGACTGGTCTCTATGTCCCACAGTTGGATTTGGAAGTATATGTGCATCTAGCTTTAAACTTTATTACTTTTAAACAGGAACACTTTGAAGTCCGAAGTAAGAACAAAGTGAAGAAGCGTAAGTTGGCGGACTCGATGCCTCTGCAGGCCCTAATAAAGCGTCACGCTGGTGTCCTGGGTCTCAGTGCTCTAGTGGAAGCCTATCCTTACAATGTACCCGAGTTTATGTCTCAGATCCTAATGGACCTTAGTAACCATGTAAACGACCCTCAACCAATACAGGTCAGTAGCTCTTTATTTTGGTGTCAATCAATACAGGTCAGTAGATCCTTACAGTCGTATCAACCAATACAGGTCAGTAAAAACTTATCTGTCAACTAAATCAGGTCAAACCTTACACTCAATCAATTCAGGTTATTATGCAACAAATTCGGATTAAAAGTTACACTCAACCAATACATCCTTAGACTCGTGTCAACAAATTCAAATCAAAACGAAAACTTAGTCAGTAGAACACTATTCAGTGTGTTACCTGTTGTCAAGTGTGTTGCTACAGCTGAGGTTAACATTACAGATTGTAAAATGTATCTAAACCAATCAGATTTCAGTATTGAACATATATGAAAGTATAATATCGATAAACTCTGTTCGTTTCATATTTTGCAGATGACAGTGAAGAAAATTCTATCAAACATTCGTAGAACACACCACGACAATTGGCATGATCACAAACAAATGTTTACAGACGATCAACTGGTCATATTAACTGATATTCTAGTGCCCCCTACTTACTACGCTTGACAACGGATCACTCCTAGAAATATTACAAACCACGGTGATAGGACCGAACTAGGAACAGCTCAGTCATGGTAGAACAGACCACAGTTATATCCCCCAATAGCAGTGGAATCAGCAATGCCCATCCCATTTCAAAGTTTGTTAGTCATAATAATTGATCTATTAATCCTCCCCCTATATAGTTTGAACATTTCAGTTATGTTTTAGTTTTTTTTCATGAATTGTATTTAATGTGTATCATGAATACAATATTTCTTTGCATTTTGTTAAAGTGATCAAGTGAACATTCGAAGTCTGTATATGGATTAAGCTTTGTGCAAGTCTTAGTTGGTTAAAGGGAAATAACCTAGCTATCTGTTTTGGAGATTGCTAACAGATTTTTTGTGAACTTTTTTGAATCTGTGTTTTTCGATACCTCATATTATGAAGGCAATTTTTGACTGATTGATTGATATTACAGGTATCTGAGGCACTTGAGATGTGTAGGTACAGTTACATGTATTTATTTTCAGAAATAGTAATGTGTTTTAAAACTAAAACTTTTCAAAAAATATTTTATATGGACAGTTAAGGATGTAGTGCCAAAGACATTATTCATTTGACAAAAGGCATCACCCATTAAATGTATCAATGACAGATGTTCAAGTAAAAAAATCCATTTCCCTAGACTTCAAGGTGTAAATTCTAATACAGACATGAGTGTTTTTCGTGCTTGGGGGTAAAAATAAATTTAGGTTTGCATATCATTACACTTAATTTATTAGTATCCATGTAACTATACATTTTAATGTATTAGCATGTACATTTATTGAGATTTTTATTTA